TTCCCCCCTCCTTTTTTTGTAACCTCTTGAACTTCATTTTTAACTAAATAGACGTCTTCATAAGAAGTGGCTCATTCCAGCCAACAAAGTTCTTTAGGTAACCATTTTGTTTGATTCTGTTATTTAATTCTATCCATTTTTATTTTAAAGAGAATAATAAAAAAAAAGAACACTGGCATAATACCAACAACATAGACAAAAACAAAGCAAAGCAAACACAATGAAAATGATACAGGGTTTCAGAACAAAATGATAGCAATGAACAGTGGCTGTTATGTTACATATTGTTTTATCTTCAGCGAAGTTGCTCAGATTACCAGATGTCAGAATGCAAGATTGATCAAACCATTAAAAAGAATTTAAAAAAAAAATTACAAACGATAGAGTTTCACTAGACAATATGGTAGGAATTCACCAATGGTGGTTATGTTGCGTACTGTTGTCTTCAAATTAGTTGTTCAGATTACCTGATGTAAGCATGCAAAATTGGTCAAAAAGAGAAAAAAATTTAGGCATTAACTGTTCCTTTCTATAAACCAATAGACTTAAGCAGTACAGTTATCACAGCTATCTACCTGTCCATTTATTTTCCCTTCCTTCTTCCTTTCTTTCTTTTTCTCCTTTCCCTCATCCCAGTTGTTCCTTTGAGCAATTTCCTTCCCTTTCATAAGGAAGGAAATTTGTCTGTTATACATTTTTGGTTTTATTTACTCTGGATTAAGTCTCCCACTTTCCAGAGAGGTGAATATTTGGCAGTGTCCTAAGGAGGCAGAGACTGAGCCTAGGACGGTCTGCTCCGCTGTCCTTTGCCTGTAAGCATGAGACTGTGGGACTGCGATAAAATGCAAATCACAGATTTCAAAAGCTGGCAATAGAAATACTAGACTTCCGAGTCTCTCGTGATTCACTCGCTGATTAACTCCTGCTTTCTCTAGCAACATTTTTGTCTGTATTTTTGAAGTGAGTGTAGTCTTACGAAAATTTATATAATGGGAAGAAATTTCGTCTCATTTTTATCATTGTGTGAGATACCCCTTTTCCCCTGTAGGTTATTTGGGCGAGATTTAAAAATACTTTTTTTATTAGTAAATATTTGCAGTACATACTGTTTACCTTCCCCTTAGGGAGTTATTTGGGTGACTTCTAACAGGATCTGTGAAAGTGGACAGAAGTCTTTGTCATCTTGGCAGTTGCAGAGAAGCATTTCTTCAGCACTGGGATTTTTTTTTTTTCCGGTACTGAGAATCGAATTCACGACCTCGCGTTTGCCAGGCAGGCGCTGTGCCGCTGAGCTGCATCCCCAGCCCCGGCACTGGGATTTTGGCAGCTGCCGTGACCTCTTTCCTTCTCCAGGATGGTGGCGTAGTGTAAGCAGTCTGGGGAGTTCCAGCTTCACCCAAATGGTGACAGCAGGCCTGTGACTCAAAGTATTTACTTCGTGCCTGTGTCCGAATAGCTGCCGGGTCCAGCCAGGTCGGGAGTGATTCTTGGCCGTGTCTTCGAAGAGCAGGCTCCTTGTCCTTTCTCCCCACCTCAGTATCCACAGTTCTCTGAGTGGAGCTTCCGCCTGACCTGCAGCCCAGCACTGTAAGACTTGGGTGTCTGGGAAAAGGTTCTGCCTCTGAAAGAAAAACTTCCTCTTGAGCAAACGTCTTGAAATGATGGTGATTTGAGGTTGTGACTCTGCTGACGCTGGAGGCATCGAGAACAGTGGAATTAATATATAGTGTCACAAATGACATGCATAGAATGTCATATCTACGACACATGTAGAGTATCATGACGCATGCAGTTTCATATATATGATGCATACAGACCATCACATATGACATGTTGAGAGTATCATATCTATGACTCATGTATAGTATCACATGAGACATATAGAATATCATATATATGGCATGTTTAGAATGTCCCATCTATGATATATGTAGAGTATCATATGACATACATAGTATCTCATATAATGCCTATAGAGTATCATATATGTGAGATATAGAATATCATTTATGATACATTTATAGCATCATATTTCTGATACATGTAGAGTGTTATATACATGATATGTGTAGGGTATTAATATATGACACATGTAGAGTATCACATGACAGAATATCATATGTAATGCATATAGAGTATCGTATGTATGGCATATATAGAGTATCATTCATGATATATTTAGAAAAATTTCCTTTTTTACTGTCAAGATATATTTTTAAAATTTTTTTATGTTAAAGAGTAATACATGAGAAACAAACAAACAAAAAAAATAGTAGCAGCATACCAATGTCATGAACATAACCAAATCAAAGCAAGAACATTCAAAGTGATACAGGGTCTCAAGACAAATTAATACAAATCAAGAATGGTTGTTACATTGCATATCGCTATCCTCAACTACATTGCTCAGAATATCAGATATAATAAGAATGAAAGATTGCTCAAACCATTAAAGAGAATAAGAAAATAATTCTTCAGTAAAAACTTAGAGATAATATAGAGTTTCACTATACAAGATGGTAGCAGTTCACCATTGCCACTCACTGCATATTGTTACCTTCAAATCCGTTGCTCAGACCACCAGACACAAGCGTGCAAAGTCAATCAGAACATAAAAAATGGTGAACATTAACTGTTCATTTCAATACACCATCAGACAACAGCAATACAGTCATCGCAGCTATTCATATATATGTTTATGTTTTGCCTTCTTTCTTTTCTTTTTCTTCTTTCCCTCATCCCAGTCGTTCCTTCCTTTGAGCAATTTCTTTCCCTTTCCTATCATCTATGGTACATTTTGAGTTTTACCTAGTCTTTCAGGTTCCTACACCAAGGAGACAATATAATGTTTACACATGTGGGTCCAATTTATTTCACTTATGAGTATGGTCTCTAGTTGCATCCATTTACCTACAAAAGCCTCGAGTTTATCTTTTTTAATAGCTGAGTAATACTCCATTGTATGAAAATACGACAACTTTTTTATCCATTCCTCAGTGGATAGGCATCTGGGTTGTTTCCAAGATTTAGCTATAACAAATTGTGCTGCTATAAACATGGGTACACATACATTGCTGTAGTATGATGTCTTTAATTCTTCTGGGAAAATACCTAGAAGGGGAATAGCTGGGTTAAATGGGACTTCTAGTCCTAGTTTTGTGAGGAATCTCCAAAATGATTTACACAGTGGTTTCACCAATCTACACTCCCACCAGCAGTGGAGTAGGGTTCCTTTCTCCCCACAGCCTCTCCAGCATTTGTTATTGGTTGATTTTTTTCATGATAGCCATTCTTTCTGGGGTGAGATGGAATCTCAGTGTTGTTTTAATTTGCGTTTCTCGAATGACCAATGATGTTGAACATTTTTTCATGTATTTATTCACCATTAATATCTCTTCATTAGAGAAGTGTGTATTCATCTCAGATGCCCATTTTTTGGATTAGGTCTTTGAATTTTGGGGACCTCATTATTTTTAATTCTTTATGTGATTTAGAAGTCCTTTGTCTGAGGGGCAGTTGGCTAAAATTTTTTCCCAATTTGTGGGTTTTCATTTTACTTTATTGGTGATTTCTTTAGATGTGCAAAAATTTTTCAATAAGATCAGATCCCAGTTGTTGATTCTTTGAAGTATTTCCTGTGCAGTTTGGTTTTTGTTCATGAACTCTCTGCCTACCCCAATGTCGTCAAAATTTTTACCTACTTTCTCTTCCAGTAAATTTAGTGTTTCTGTTTAAGATATATTTTTGAGGAGGAATCTATTCCAGGTTCCTGCCTTCTCTTCGCCCTGCGATTTCTCTGTCATGGTCTTGCCACGTAGCCCAGGCTGACTTCAGATGCCTCTTTCTCTCTCTGTTCCCCTCCTTGGCCAGGGCAGGGATCACGGGCATGCACCACTGCACCCAGCTTCAAATTCTTATTTTGAGATGTGGTCTCACCAAGTTGTCCAAGCTGGCTTCTAGTTTGCAGTCGTCCTGCCTCAGCCTCCAGGTAGCTGCGGTTACAGGTGCACACCATCATGCCCAGCTGAACCGAAGCTCATAATGAAACCTGGTGTCATATGCCTATAATCATAGCTACTTAGAGGTGAGGCAGAAGGCTCTTAAGTTCGAGGCCAGTGAGACCCTGTCTCAAAACAAAAATGAAAACCTTGGTGACATTTACACGTTGACTTGCACTCTTAAAATTGGCATTTGTTTCCTGTGTTGTCCAGTATAGTTGTTAAAACATATGTTTATAAAGAACGAATATTATAAACAGGTTTTAAGAATAAGCCTGACTTAAAAAGTCCCTCTGAAAATTTTTATGCATATATTTCCATCATTGTTTCCTTGACAAGGTCTAGCGTTTTTCCAGAGAAAGGATATGTGTGTATGTGTGTGTGTGTTTCATGGTGCTTTGCATTAACACTCGATATATTGGGAAAAATTTGCTTTCCAGTGGGGAGCTGGAGGATGAATGTGAATGGAGTCTGTCAAACCTAATTCTTTTCCTGCCAGGCAAATCATGTCTCCTGGATTCTAACTTTTGTATTTTAATGTCCTTGGTACTTGTCTTAGTCTTGTCTTTTGCTACCTGTGCTATACAAAGGCATTTCTTAGGCTTTAATTTTCATAAATATTTTTATGCCAGAGAAAGAACTTGAATATGATGGGTGATCACAGTGTTTATTTAATAGTTCACTATTTAACAATTCGGTAGCCGGAACATTTCATTTGCGGTTACCTTATTGCATGTACTTTATCTTAATTGATGGGATTAATAACAACTCAGATATTTACAAATGATCATGTGTTTTACTTTTCTGATGAGTTGTGAGTTCTAATAGATCTACATGTACCTAACGTATTTGCCCACATCTGAAGTATGTGATGAGATGAATAACGCGGGGAGCATTCGATGGCTTCAAGGTGTTCTTCCTCGGTGTGACTGGATAGAAATAAACTCATTTACACTGAGAACAACGCGTGATGCTCTCATCTCTCACAATGTTCTTCCTTAGGCAACAGAGACTATGCCAAGGATGACCCACTGGAGTTTAAGTCCCACCAGTGGTTTGGAGCCTCTGTGAGGTCAAAACAGGACAAAATTTTGGTAAGTCCTTTGGATATTTCCGCACAGGTGAGTCTGGTCAGTGTATGCGCAGGCACAAGGAGTTTTGTTTCCAGGCTGAGAGCAAAGTTCCTTGCGCTCAGGGGCGGGGCTTCATGAGAGAGCCAGCTCTGCCCCCGCCTGAGGCTGCCCCCTTCCCTGCCCTCTCTGCAGGCCTCTCCTCTTTCCTGTCCTCGGTGTATATATAGCTCACTTTCCTGCCCTACCGGGTGGGTCACCTTGCTTTATTTCTATCCGGGAGCAGTGTGCCGTGATGCGCAGATGCTCTCAGGCGGCAGACAGCCCTCCTGACCCGTCTTCCCCTCTGCCACCTCCCACCTCTTAGTGAAAGTGTTCTTAGAGTTGTCACCTCCACCTGTCACTTCTTCTTCCGGTCCTCGTGGGTTGGTAAGGCCAAGGTCACCGCTGGCTTTCGGATCACTGAAATCACTGTGACAACTTTCTGGAATATGCATATCTGTGATGTTTTATATTGCCCCCCAGGGTTTATTCCTAACTTCACAGCATTGAAGTGACATTTCCCAAGGGCAGGAACTTCCTCCTCCCCATCTTTTAGAAATACTTCACTTGGTTTCTGCGACACTGCACTTCCGTGTGTTTTTCCCGTCGCTGGCCGCTCCTCACACTCTCCTTTAAGGGTTCCTCTTCTACTCAGCCCTTAAATGCTGGGCTTTCCTGGAGTCCATCTGGGTCCCTTTGTTTCTTATGACTACGCTTTTCACTGCTGGGCTCCTATGCTGTTCCACATCTGTAAGTGCAGGCTATAAGTCATAATTCCCAGACACGTATTTCTAGCTCTTAGTTCTCCCTGGATTGTGAAAGGCGTATTTCCAAGCTACCTATGTGGCATTTCCACTTGGGTGTCTAATAGGTAGCACCAAAGGAACATGGCCAAAACAGCACTCTTGTCACCCTCCGTCAAAGACTACAAACCAACACAAAGGGACTGTTCCTATGCAAATCGTCTCCAGCTTCATGAGTGGTGTGGTTCTCCGCCCCATCTACAGTGAGCCCTATCAGTTCTACCTCGAAACACATCCCACGTCCATCAGCAGCTCCGCAGCTTCCTTATTTCTGCCCTGCTGTGAGCAAGGACCGTTACCCGCTTGGGCCAGCGTACTTGTGCCTCTCCTCTGTCTGCTTCCTGTCCCGCCCTGACTTACGTTCTACACAAAAGGACCAAAGGCAAGAAGGGCAGCTCACCTTCTTAATTAAACATTGAGTAGTTTTCTTTCACTCAGAATAAATGTGAAAGATTCATTCTGGCTTATGCTTCAGCCACCCTAGTGTTTTTATTTATGACCTCCACCTGCCAAATGGTGCCGTGTCCCCTCTGCTTACAGTAATCCTGTTGTTTGCACCCTGAGCTCCTGGTCATTCACACAGAAGCTTTAATTCCATTTCCGTAGAGAGCCCTTCCCTATTTGAATTCCTTGGTTTTTTAATGCAATTTTTTTTTTTTTTTTTTGAGCGTTCAGGAAAATTTTACTGAGGAGGTGAAATATCAGCAGGACTTTAGAGGATGTTAAAGGAAGATAACTTGAGTCATTTGTAGGAAAATGAATACACCTGGAAAATGTGAAATGAAATAAATCAGACACACGAGCTTAAATGTGGTGCACTTTCTCACATGAGAAATTCAAATTACAAATGAAGAGCAGACTAAAAGATGGATAATGGGAAGTAGGGAGGTAGATCTTTCTCAAATGGGAAGGGGGTCAAGAGACAGCGGGGGCGGGGGGAGAAAAGGGGGTGACAAAAGGAATGAGGATGTACTATGCACATACACTCACTCCACACATGGAATGCAGGTATTATGTACTGCAAACACGTGCTAATAAAAAGGGACGCATCGGAGGTGAAGGAGGGGTAAGAAGGGGGCGTGGTGGGCGGGCAAATGCAAGGAAGCAGAGGTCATCAGAAAGAGCTCATCCTCCGCTCTGAGCGTCGTAGAAGTGTAGAAAAGGAGTGATTCCCAGCTTCAGTTTTATCAGGGTGGATACAACATAAGCCAGTGTCGATGTCTGCAGTTTCTGTGTTAACATTTGTCTTCAAAAACTGCTACAGAAACCCACTGCACTTCCAGTAAATGAAACGGTGACACTTTTACAGGTTAATAGTGTCGATGTCTATGCTATGATATCATGATGCTGAAATTAGAGCTCTGAAAACTAAAAGCTTAGTTTTTGTGGAAAGTAAGTAAAATCATAAGCAGTATACATTCTTTTACTCTCTCTTTTTTTTTTTTTGGTTTTTCTCCGGTACCGGGAACCGAACTCACAACCTTGTGCTTGCCAGGCAGGCGCTTTTGCCGCTGAGCTAAATCCCGAGCCCCTACTCTCTTCTTCTGAAACTATTTGCTGTATAATTTAGGATTATACCCGAGAGGCTGGGCAGTGTTACTAGTTGGATAAGTGATTCCATGATCTTAAGTTTAGCATGTAGTGTGAAGAAATGTTACCTGAAATAATAATTTTGCTATCTGTTTTGGAAATACGTGTATGGACTAAAATAAGGTCTTCAGAAGAATGTGAGAAAAACACTTCTTTTAAAACACTTCCTCATTCATGGGTGCAGTAAGGGATGAGTGAGGTTGGGTGCATTTTTATTGAAGTGTAGAAAGCGGTGTATTCTGAGGCAGTGGAGACGGTCTGAAATGCTGGGTTGTTGGAGAATTGTTCTATCCTGCACTAAACCTTCCGTCTTAGGCCTGTGCTCCCTTGTACCACTGGAGGACGGAGCAGAAACAGGAGCGGGAGCCCGTCGGGACCTGCTTTCTTCAGTCCGGGACAAAGACCGTGGAGTACGCTCCGTGCAGGTCAAGTACGTTCGGCAGGTCGTGCCGCTTTTAGCAAGGGGCTGGGGAGGGCAGCTGGTTCACACGTGTGTGGTAGCGTGAGTGTGTGTGCATAGCCAAGTGTGTGGATGTGTTGTGGGGTTGCTGAGAGCCTAACAGAAACAGTTCTACCCAGTTACAGATGGGAAGCAGATGGATTTATTGCTTCTAAGAACTACTTTTACTTCCTTAGTGATCATTAATAACTGACTTTGGAAACCTATATTTTTCATCACAGTCAGTCAGAATGTGCTCAGCTGAGCTTCTCTAACAGATGTGGGCCCCACAAGGAGAGATTCTCTCTGGTAGGTCTGGGTTAGACTGGATACTTGGATCTTTACAAGGTGATTTTGATGGATACCAAAGTTAGCGAACCACCACTTTGGATTAATAATGATGTTAAAAATAAGAAATGAGACATCCAGAGTTTATGCCAGAGAGTGAATGCTGAGTTTAGGAGGATCGAGTCTGAATTTCCCAACCTTCCCCGGCACTTCTGTGCTAGCTTGTGACCAAGCCCACTTCTCTTTTGGAGATCCAGCCGATCACATGCTTTGCACTAATAGTAGTTAACATTTCAAATACAGTTCCTGTGGTGCAAGCTGGCTCCCATGCTGTGCACATCTTCCCTTCAGATTCCAGTTTTCCTCCATGCCTGCCTTTGTTCTGGCCACTACTCTAGTTCTTCTCTGTACCAGCAACAGACCCAGAGAGGCCTGAAATGCTCCCCTCTCTCTGGTGGGTATGGTACCAAGTGTCCATAGGTGCCTGAACCCACAGCATACTGGTCCCCCAACGCCCAGTTTTCCCCTCATATATACATACATACATACCTGTGCTAAAGTTTAATTTACAAAATTAGTACACTCAGAGACTAACAACAGCAACTGTCCCTAAGAGAATTGTAGCAACTTACTCTAATAAAAGATACTGTATTTATAATTTATGAATTACTATTTCAGGAACTTTTCATCTAATATTCTCAGACTGCAGTTGACTGCTAGTAACTGAAATTGTGGGGAAAAGTGGGGAACTAGTGCTTAGCATTTATTCCTGGCATGCTTTTGAGGCGATTATTATTATTAGCAGTAGCATTAGTAGTAGCAGCAGCAGTAGCAGTAGCGCCAGTAGTGGCAGCAGCAGCAGCAGCAGCAACAGCAGCAGGGGTTAAACCCAAGGCCTTTTCACTGAGTTACATCCGCATCTCTTTTTTGTTTTTGATACGGGACCTTCCTAAGTTGCCCAGGCTGGATTCGAACCTTCCAGAGGGCTGGGATTACACGCAAGCTATAGCATGCCTGTCTTAGGCATTATGTTCTACTGGTCCCCAAATAGTTGAATAAAAAAAAAAATAGTAATAGAAGTACATTATGTATGACTTACTGGGACACTCCTTTTCATGGTAGGTGACATATAACATGAGATTAAAGATACTGCTCAGTTCTGAAAATTCTAAAGAATTGGACCTCTGGGAAACTGCAGGTTATTTCATTAAGCACTTATTTCTCAGCCCATGCCCTTGATCTTGCATGCCGTGAGGGGGCTGTCAGCACTGCACACCCAGATTAAACACGGTGAACCTGTGGTCAGGGCTGGAGGGGGCCAGAAGCCTGGTCCTAGGTGTTGTGGGCCACCTGTCTCACCACTAGGGTTTGGGCATTTTGGGAGTGGTGCTGTCATCTCTGTAGTGTAGAAAAAAAATCTCAGGACTAAATCTGCATTTCTAATCTCTATGCTGCAAAGATGTTCGCCCGAGAAGATCCTGTCAGAGCTCTGAGGAAAAGCTAAGGCTTATGTGTCCAGTTGTAGCTTAGTATTTCCATGATTTCCACACAGAGACCCACATGCAGCCTTAATTCTCACTGAGAGTGCAGAACTTGAGATGCAGACAGATGAAGCAGTTGCTTTCCTCCTGTTGTGGCATTGAGTGGTCAAATGAGGATTTGAACTTAGGTCTGTCTATTCTTTCTGGTTTTTGGTGCTTGGGTCGAACCCAGGGTCTGGTGCATGCTAAACACACGCTGCACTCCATCCCTGAATCCTTCTTATTCCTGAGGAACCTCTGCCTGCATTGCAACAGGAAATGTGTTGCATTTTGATTGCTTCTGTTTTCAGCACAGATTTTCTATAAAGAATACATTCTGCCTCCTTCGTAGCTTTGGCTAATTCCTGGTATGTCTAGTTCCTGAAAACCTGAGAATGTGTCTTCTATTCACAGTTCCTTGTTTATCTGTCACCTTAACCTTTCACTTATTTGGTTTAGGTGTAGAAATTATAAAGTAATTCAAAATGATATTTTCTAAGATATTTAACATCAAGTCAGGTCAGCAAACAATAGCCCATGGACCTTGTTTTAGTAAACAAAGTTTTATTAGAATATAGCCACACCTGTTTATTTACACATCCTCTGGGAAGGTTGAGTAGATCTGCTATTGCCACATGGAATGGCTCCTAAACCTAAAATATTTACTGTGTGGGCCTTTACAGAAAAAGGTTGCTGAACACTAATCTAATGAAACTTCAAATCTTAGGAAAAGCTGAAAGAACAACCTCATAAAGCACACAAAGCGAAGTGAATGACTTTCTTCCTAACAGGCCTGGCTTTCAGCAACTCTTAATTATTATACATATTGTCTGGTCCAACCCTTGAATATTGAGCTACCTACACATTCAACTTTACAGACGGATAAAAATCTAGCAGAGAAAATACTTGGGAGCAAAAGTTTGAAGTTCTGGATCATAATCTCAAATTTTGCTAATAATCAACCTGTACCTATGAGTCCTTGATTCTTTATTGGCACGACACTAATTCCAACAAAGCACTCCAGCGGTACAATTTTAGTATTTTGTATGTTCTTTATACTAAAGTAAATTATACAACCAACAATTGATTTTATAGAGTTAATCATGTAGCCCAGTAATTGATTTGATAGGGTTAAGCCAGTTTTGTAGGGCTGCATTGCTGACTTCTTGATAGTTTTACTTGTGTTTGTTGTGGTAGATTGACAGGTGTTTTTGTTTGTTTTTTGATTTGTTTGATACTGTTTTTAACACAACCTGTATGGACACCCTGGGCAAGGTACTTCACTGTCTATTTCTGGCTTACCTTTTTAATGATTACAGCTGCTTCCAGCTTTTCCTAACTGGATTTATGACCATTCTTGGCACTATGCAGTAGACCAGATGTCCATCTGTTCTCAGCCTACCTGGGCCACAAATTATGTGGCATAAATATTCTCAATGCCACAGTCAGGCTGAGCCCTTTATTCCTTCTGTCTCCTCTTTGATAATGATGCTATCTGTCACAGATTTTTCTTAGTTGTGGTTTCTGGCTGGCATTTCCTTCTACTTTTTCATTACTCAGAGAATCATAAATCCATTGTTGATTTGAGGTCATGTACCTTTCATAGGACAGACATTCATAGATCTAGCTCTGTGTTCCTACTTGCTAGCTAGTTGATCATTAGCAAGACTCTCCATTTCCCTAAGCATTATTTTGCTTATGTGTACAAATTGTGGAAAATAATACCTCTCCTCAGATTTTTAAGGTTTAAAAAGGAAATGCCATGTAAAACACTTATTAGCACAGGGCCTGGCCCCCAGTGACGGGGTCTTCTGTCATCATCAGTACGTTGCTGCACATAGCAGATGGGACAAGTATTAAAGCAGCACCAAAGCTTTCACTGAAATAAGTTCTACTCAACATGAAAAATTTTAACTGGTCACAAATGCTCAGCTTAATATATAATACGTACCTATTAAAAATTTTAAGGGACAGTTGTATTTTAAGATGGATATTCTAGGAAGCCAAATAAAACAGATGTACAGTAAGATAATCAAAACAGGCAGTCTTTATAAATAGCCTGGAATAGTTCCCCAGATGCAACTTCAATAAAGGAAATCAATGGCTGACCTGAGGTTAGAGTAGAATTCCTTGGTATGATTCACTTGACACTGGAAACCCCAGCTGCACATTTTCCCATTCCCCCTTGGTTACAAAAATTTACACGGGGGTAGAATTACACTCTTGAGGCCATTTTACTTTTTAAAAAAGAAGTATTTTAAGTTGGATAGTCAGTGTGTAGTCTTGGGGCACTTCCCAGGTTTTGAAAATGGACTCAAAATTTTTGATGCAGTTGTTTGGTTAAAAAATTTCTTGGAAGTTTCCCTGATGACTGAAAATAGATATCTTTGGTTCCTATATTTGGATGACCCATTCAGCATAGCTTTTTCTATATTGGTAACACTGGCTACAAGAATTCTTCACTAACTGAAGGGTAGTGTTTTCTATGTTCCTTGCTCTCTTCAAAAAACAAAACAAAAAACAAAAGGACAGACTTTAGAGTTATCCTTCTTTCTATTCTAGGTACTCTATTGCTCATAACAAACGTTCATTTAAAGTAATTGGTCTATTATTTTAACTCTGAATTACTTTCTTTTTTGAGAACTAAAAAAAAGGAGAGTAATAAATGCAGAAGATCAAAATTATTGATTCACCTGTTGGGGAGAATGCTTTTGAAGGTGTCATGTTTAAGGATGTTTACTTTAACTAGACCTCAGCATTAAATTTATTGTGAGGACAGTTTCGTATTTGTCTTCAAAGAACATTAAGTTTTGGCCTTACTATTTTCTGAAATTCCAAACTGTGTTATTCACGGATTTTTATTTTCGTTGCTGGTTACAAAGTGTATATAAAGGCCATGTATAATATGAGGAATGTGCAGATATCTTTGTTATTATTTATAATAACTTACTGAAGACCCAGCATCCAGAGGGCAGTAGGAAGAAAGGGGTACATCGGATGGGAATGTTTAACTATCATCTCAAGACTCACTAGTGTTTTATGTATGGGGTCACATTGGTAATTTGTCAGAAAGTAAAATGAAATATAATGAAGTAGAAAATACTAGGATTTCTTATGTGTGGTAATAGTAATATTTTGTGTGAAATTTTGTTTCAGTTCTATATTTTAAACACATTGTGTGTGTGTTGGGTTGTGATATAAACTGTAATTTTGCTATGTAGCTTGTTAAAAAAGAAACCCAACACTGTAAATCTGATGTTTCGGGTGATTTTTCTGTTTCCTGGGGACCAGTCTCAGCGTCTCTGTTTCCATCTCTGCAGAGATGGGGCAGGTGACTATGAGTACTACCCCACTCAGAATATGGAAATAACCAAGTGCCGAATGAATGACTGCTCACGGGAACTAGTACCTTATGTGACGATTATGGTGATACCAGATCTTTCTCATGTTTTGTTTTGTGTTGTTTGTTTTGGGTTTGTGTATATTTCCAATCTTTTTATTTTAGAAAATATTGATGCTGATGGACAGGGATTTTGTCAAGGAGGATTCAGCATTGATTTTACTAAAGTAAGTTCTCATTTTAAGACTGAACACGATTCAGCTCTGCCTCACTGACTAAACTGTGCTTCAGATAAACTGGTCACTGCTGTAGCTTCTTCATAACCGTTACCTGTTTAATGAAAAGAGCTAATGCAACACGCCCTTCCTGTTGGCCTTCGCCTTGCGCTCTCCCCTTGCAGGGCGCACTGCTTATCTCCCAGTGGGAGACTCCTCAGAAGATCACAGGCAACCCTTAGGACCTCCTATTACATTTCTATTCGTAGGAATTTATAGAATAGTAAAGTTGTCTATTTTCACCTGAAATTGTTTCTTCCAAAAGGCTACCAATGGGAGCTTTATTCCAGAATCATAGTTTAGTTTCTTGAAACCTGCTTGTTGGTGACCTGTGATAGGCCTGCAGGTACTAAGTGTGGCTGAGGCAGTTTAATGATGAGAGAAAAATCTCAGGAGTGTGGCGTGTACCTCTGTGGTTCCAGCCCTCAGCAGTCCGAGGTAGGAGGATTACATGTCTGAGACCAGCCTGAATTGTATAAGTGAGACCCAGACAAACAAACTGAAGAAAATCTCATATGCAGAGCTCTCTGTATTTTTTAACTAAACTAATATACTCTTTAGGGTTGACAAGTTTTTGTTTTTGTTTCTTTGTGCTTGTTTATTGATTGATTGATTGATTGATTGATTTATCTAGCTAGCTAGCTAGCTAGCACTCCGGGGGATTAAACTGAGGACTTTGCAAATGCTAGGCACATGCTGAAGGGATAGCATAGATGCCAGCCCTTTTTTATTTTGGGACAGGGTCTTGACAGGTTGTCTAGGTTGGCGCTGAACTTGTGATCCTCCTGCCTCAGTCTCCCAAGAAGCTGGGAATATAGGCAGTTTTTTTTTTTTTAAATCTTTTTTTTCTAAAATAAATTTATTTTTGCTTTCAAAGATAAATTTTATTAAATAGAAGTTTTTACTCTGTTTATATTTTGTGGCATATTTTGATATCACATTGAGAGTATTAATCCCTTCTAGAGAAGCTGTGAAAACATATAGGTTGATTAAAAGGAGAATTTCCTCAGAAAGTTTACCACAGCTTTCTTGGAAAACGTGAGTGAGGAATGCCATCCATGTATAAAAACAACAGAAACCCAAACCATGTGATGCTGGAGAAGGAATAAAATATTTTATTATTTTAAAAAATGTATCTTATCTTTATTTTTGTTAAGTGTTTTTCTGCACTAGGTTCTGATATTTAGCACTAACTTTCCTCACTAGATAACTGATTTTGAAGTGACTCAGTTTTGTGTTATGTTACTTAAACTTTAAGGAAGCCAAACAAACAATGATAAGTATCTGAATAAATATTAGGCTTAAACTTGCAGGACATATTTTCGAGTAGATATCATTTCAGAATAAAAGCAGCCATGTTCTCTTGTACCTATGCAACTGTTTCCCCAAAAATATTCTCATAATGGGAAATTACTCTCAAATTAACTTCTACTTTCTTAAAACCTTTTCTGAAAAAATGTTGTCATTTTAAAACGAGATGCCTTGGAAGGGTCTTTTACATGGCCAGGGCAGGGAATTGTTGACCTTTGAAAGAGGTATTTGTCTGTTTGGAGCGGGAAAACTTTCCCTTGCTTCCAGCAAGAAGAAATCATCAAATCATTGTGTTTAGATGCAAAGTGCCTTGCATTAGACACTTAGGTTCTGTAACAAATGCTAGTCTGGTGTAATTAGTAGAAATTAACCCTCTAACTTCATGCCTGTCTAGATCTATCAGACACTAAAAGTAGTTTTCCTAGCAGAACATTCTAGAATGATTATTAGGAAGAAAGTATGCCCCTGTAGTCACACATCTAATATATGAAAGGAATAAGTGACTTTTTTCTATATTATAACCTGCTAGTACTTTGCACTAGTATATCATTCAGAACATGAAACTTAGCTAAGACTTAGAGAAAAAAGTCCTCATATGTATTAAATGAGGAAATTACATTTTTTCTTTTTAATTTTATTTTAGAAAAGATACAGTGAAAACCATTGAGTTTGGGATTTAGGATTTTATTTGCTGTAGGATGTGTGTGATATAAATTATATCAATGTCTTTCATGGTCATTACATTGATCTGTGCTTTGAAAGCTACTTGTTTTTAAGTACGCACCCTTCTCTTGTGTGGTTCAATCTAGGCCGACAGAGTACTTCTCGGTGGTCCTGGTAGTTTCTACTGGCAAGGTAAGCTAACATTTATCACATTACCCATCATGCACTTGTTTCTGATTCACCTGGCTTGTCATGCACCTATGAAATGTTTCAAGTTACTCTGTTTTATTTTGCTTATTTTTTTTCCAGTACTAGGGATTGAGGGTTGGGGATATAGCTCAGTGGCACAGCAACTGCCTGGCAAGTATAAGGTCGTGAGTTCGATTCCCAGTACAAAAAAAAAAAAAAAAGACAGCCTATGCAAAGGGATTGAACCCAGGGCCTTTGCACTGAGCTATATCTCCAGCCCTTTTTCACTTTTTATCTTAGCGTCTCAGTAAGTTGCTAAGTTGTCCAAGACGGGCTTGAATTTGGGATCCTCTTGCCTCAGCCTCTTAGAGTGCTGGGATTATAGGTGTGTGCCACCACACCTGGTTATTTCCTATTTGCTTTCTTTAATTTATCACTGGGGATACACAGTTGTTTATTTAGTTAATACTAAAATGTTTAATTTCTGCTAAAAAGCGCTGCTTGCAAGGTTATACCTTGTCCTTATCATGGTAGCATTCAGGACTCAAACATTGTCAGTGTTTGGAATAACTGGAAAACTATACTGATTTGAAAATACTTTTCAGTTTTTTGAATTTTACTTTTATGTTCTACACTGTGGTTCCCTTACTTGGTGCTCTATAGGGAACGCACATGTGCATTTGCTTGCTGGAAAGAGAGAGTGGCTAAGTTGCCCAGGTGGGCCCAGCTCAGACCTGCATGTTTCAGCTTCACAAAGTCAGGGTTTACAGATGTTCAGCAGCAGGCCTTTCTCCGAATTCTGTCTTTTCAAGAGACACAGCTCTAGATGTGTTTAAATGCCTTGTTCTCTTAGTACCTTGGGTATGACACACTGTCTTTATGTATCCATAGTTATTCTAAATTAAGACAAATGGAAACTATCAGTATTGTTCATGGTAGTTCTTTTATAAGTGTTCTGTAATATGTAACTAAAAGGCTGAGTGAATTGGGTGAGAATATTTAATTGTAATAAGATTAAAATCAGCTGGGTGTGGGTGGTGCCTGCCTGTAGTCCCAGGTACTTGAAAGGCAGCTGAGGCAGGAGGGTCACAAGTTTAAGGCCAGCCTCGGCAATTGAGTGAGTCTGAAAATAAAAGACAGTTTTTTTAAGGCCTGAGCATGTAGCTTAGCTGCAGAATGCTTACCTAATGTGCAGGAGGCCCAGGGTGCAACTTCTGATATTATACACACAAAAAAGATTAATTAGCAGCTTTTACATTCAATAAATAAGCACACTGGAATGAGTTTTTCCCCACAGATCTCGGTTTTGTAAGAACGAAAAAAAAGACAGCATTTTCTTCCTAACAGATGATCCATTTGACTGTGTTCGTTGATTCCAGTGGGGCTTACTGAACTCCTCCTATGTTTGCCGTACCCTTTAGGCACAGGCAGCTACTGGACAGGAAGTGTTTCTCCCTGTGGAACTTGACAAATTAGATCCACATTTTAGCCCTTGTGAATTTATTTCTACAACAGGAGAAATGAAGAATTGTTTTCCCCACATTAGGGAGATGTGTGATGGCATTGGATAAATTTCTCAGGGTGGCAGGGTGGGGGACAATTGCTTATTTTGAGACAGGGTCTCGCTGAGTCACTTAGCTGCCCAGGCTGGGCTCAAACTTTCAATCCTCCTGCCTCAGCCTCCCAGCCTGCTGAGGTCGCAGGCGTGTTCACTCTGATTTTTATGTAATCAATTTCTTGGCTGCTTGATAATTTAAGGTTATGGGCAAAAATGAACTCATTCATTCATGTTGCTTCATAAAGCTGTTCAAGCCAACAGTTAAAATCCATCGAACCAGTTACTCTGATTATGAAGGTAACAGTATTTACTTATTTCAGTTACAGTTTTTTCAGGTTTTAGGGATTTCACTGGGAAGTAGTCTGTGGTTTAATTATTCTCTCGTATAGCGCTGACTTGCAAAGTTCAAACAAACCTCGTTGTTAAATTTTTATTAGCATAGACTAATTGTAAGTACTGACCCAAAGAAAAGCAATTACTGTATGTGTTTTATTTGTTTTATTTTTTTATTCTTTAGGTCAGCTCATTTCGGACCAAGTGGCAGAAATCATCTCTAAATATGATCCCAGTGTCTATAGCATCAAGTACACTAACCAGTTGGCCACTCACACAGCACAAGCAGTTTTTGATGACAGCTATTTGGGTATGTAAGAGCCAAGTACAGACTTACGTTATGGAGTTGTGGTATATTATCCTATAATTTGCATATAGACAAGTAGAAATAAAGTTGTTATGTGAACTAGATTAAAATTTTTTTTAATATGAAGGACATTTAGAATTCTGTTGAATATTTAGGTTATGTTACATTTTAATAGTTGATTTTTTTGGTGGGTGGCGTTGGTTTTGTAGAGAGGGTCTTGCTTTATAGTCCAGGCTGGCAGTGAACTCGCGGGCAATCCTCCAGCTTCAGCCTCCTGAGTACTGTGATGCTGGGTGTATGCCATCACGCCTGACCAGTAATTGAAGGGAGAGAGAATTCATATAACGATAACATTTAAATATGTTTATTCTGTTCACGGCTTTGCGGTTTTGAGTGTGTGCACTCACTCACCCCTCCCAGGACTGGGGAATACGCTCCTGCCCCAGCCCCTGCCTTGCTGCTCTGGACTTGGAGCCCGGGCTGTCTGGCCCGGGGCGTTAGACACTGTGAAACCTCAGCTGGGTCCTGATCAAAGCTGGTTCCCTGTGTTTACATGTCTTCCTGATTTGTGAAAACAAGCTGCACACAGAAAAACAGTGCAGAGCTTGCTGACTGAGACCATGTGTTATCTGTTGTCTCTTTTTTGTGAGTTGCAGATTCATCCTCTATAACAGACTCCTTTGTAAAGTGAATCAGTCTTATTTTTCTAATGTAGATATCCTACGTGAGGATCGAGTCATTTCTTTTAAAATGCATTTATCATAGCCAGGCGTGATGGCTTGCACTAGTAATCCCTGCACTCAGGAAGCTGAGGTAGGAGGATTGCCAAGAGTTGAAGGCCAGCCTGGGCTATGTAGTAAACTCAAAATCAGCTTGAACTACAGTAGCAAGACCCTGTCTCAAACAAAAGTCAGTTATGATCAGATTCAGCACGGGCTACCCTGAGCATAAGTCACCCAGCTAAGAAAGCCCTTACCCCCTCAGTGGAGGAAAGCTTGCTGAAACCTCCCTTCCTCACCCCTCTCCCTCTGGCTTCCTTGCAGGTTACTCGGTGGCCGTCGGAGATTTCAATGGTGACGGCGTTGACGGTAGGCAGCGTTGGAATCGCGTGTAGTCTTAGGCATTTGAAACGTGGGACCCTAACGTTGCTCTAGCACTTTGAGACCGGTTTTTTTTGTGGAGTGCAAAGTGCAGAGTCGAGAGTCCCCCAGTGGCCCTGGCTGGGTCGTCACTGTGATTTCAGCTTCCCTCTCTACAAAAGCAGCCCTCTGGGAAGGGCTCAGTTCCTTCCTCAGGTTTCCGTGCGGCCTCTGACTCCGGGCTCTGTCGGATTGCTGCCCTTCCTCCTTGTCCTTCTCTCTGCTTTCCCAGTTGTTTTCATTTGGGTGTGCACTAGTGCAGGTTGGCAGTGAGGAACGGCTGCGCCCCTCTTCCTTCTTTTATTTCCCCTCCCTGCTCCGCCATCTCCTGGTCCGCTCTCCAGGTGCAGGAGCTGCATCTCCCAGTTTCCTACAGCCTAGCTTTTCTTTGCTCTGTGTCTTGCTTACTTTTCTCCCATTGCTGAGACAAAATACCAGACACCTAAATTAAAGAGGGAAAGGTTTATGTAGCTCACAGTTTGTGGAGGTTTTAGTCCATACTTGGCTGGCTCCAAGGCAGGGTGGCACATGGCAGAGGGCAGCAGTTCATGGTGGTGGAAGACAGCAAAGCAACAAGAGCCAAAGGGAGGAGAGGGAGAGCAAGCGTCTTTCCCCTCCTTACGCTATATGCAGGCTACCCGCCCTAGGGGGGGTGCTCATTAGCAGGTGTAGCACTCACGTGCGTAATCCCAGCACTGGACCATGAATCATTCACAGACTCTAGAAGTTAACTCTAGAAGCCCACCTCATGACTGGATGAGGCTTTGGGGGGACAACCAGATACAAACCATAACACTGTATAATTTATGTATGGTCTGGATTTCTCATCGAAGAGAAACTGTGGGATATCCTCGTATCTCTGATTTATTTCACTTAACATGATGTCTCCAGATGTATCTGTTGTCCTATAGGGGCTTCAAGTTTATGCTTCCTTACAGCTCCTGGAGCTCTGAGAGCAACTTTGGACCTTACCTGAATTTTTTGTCTTTTTGAGACAGGGTCTCGCTATGCAGTTCAGGCTGGACTTGAGCTCACTTTGTAGCCGAGGCTGGTCTCGAACTCACAAAGATCCTCCTGCCTCAGCCTTCTGAGTGCTGAGATTATAGGTGTGCATCACCACACCTGACTTTTACCTGGTTTTGTTTACCATTTCTGGTGTGGGTTTTTTTTTTTTGTTTTTCGTACTGGAAATTGAACTCATGACCTTGTGCTTCCCAGGCAGGTGCTTTTGCCACTGTGCTATATCCCCAGCCCTGATTATAGCTTCTGTACCACAGCAATCCTAAACCATTTCACTTTGCTTTATGTTATTTTTCAATACTGTAAATGCAGTTTTTCCTCATTCTTACATAATTTATCTCATCTGTCTCCTTTGATAAGAGTTCAGGTGATTTGAGGGGTTATTTGCATATATTTGAATCCTCAAGATGAATACTGTTTTATAAGTTTTGTTTTCATAGTTTAAAATGCTAGGGTTATTTATCATAGTCTCAAACTTTTAAAAATCTCTTGTCTGTTTTGTGCTGAAGTAATGAAAGTGAAAGCGCTGCCAGTTGTTTCCCATGCTGATCTTCAAAATGAGTAAGGAAGTTTTGTTTTTCTCTTACAGACTTTGTGTCAGGCGTTCCAAGAGCAGCGCGGACCTTAGGAATGGTAGGAAAGATTCAGAAGTGTTTCAGAAAACCTGTGCTATCTCCTGTTTTCCCATATTTCACGTACTTTCTCTTTCTTACACAGGTTTACATTTATGATGGGAAAAATATGTCCTCCTTACACAATTTTACCGGTGAGCAGGTACGCCCCCATGTCACCTCTCCTCCTTTATAAAAACAGTATTGTTCACTCAGAAAGCTTTGGAAAATAAAAGTCTAAGAGCCGTTGGTAGTCCGGCTGCAGAGGACCCATCAGACTCTCAGTTTGGTTTATATTACTTTTGTTCAGATCTGAACAAAATTTGGTTTACTTTTACTTTTTCTGTTTGCTTTTTCAATCAGCATTGGATCATCTGTGTTTTCTACCGTCCTAAACTTCTTGGAGCTATTGAAATGGCTTATTGAGCCCACAATATTCAATAGTATAAATAGACTATAAATATTTCACTTTTGTGTTTTACTGAATCATTTCCTAGCATGGCTTGTTTTTGTTTGCTTTTTCTAGGAAATAAAAAAACAAATCGTGCACAAAAAAGACCACAGAAACTCCCTCACTTTTCCCGATGCTATTAACTTCTAGTGGAACTATCTGTGCGCTTTAATTGACTAGACGCAGAGGGAAACATGGCACAGACTTGTGTATTAGACGTGTTACACTCAAACTTCCCTTGCACAACATGAGTTACAATGTTCCAGTTAAAAGTTCTTTTAAGCGCTAGACATTCTCTGTACGCTCAGGCATTTTATAATATTCTGGGCTCCATGTTAGACAGAGAAAGTTAAATAAGTTGGTAACGATAAAGGACCAAGCAAGCAGTAAGCAGAGAAGACAAGAGTCGTGCTGCTGTGTGGCTCCGGCCAGCTCCAGCCTTCTGCTCTGTGCAGGTTGCCGGGCCTGCTTGAGGACAGGCAGGGAGGGTGAGGAGCGGCCGGGTGCCCAGGGTGGGCAGGAGGCTGCGGCTGACCAGCAGTCAGGGTGCGGCGGGCGCCCCTTCTGCCGTGTGACCTCTAGCTCCAGCGGCAAGTCCCCTGCGGGTCCCCCTGTGCCTCTGATCTTTGCCAGCAGGATGCCGTCTTTGTCCCCTGGGCGCTCTGCCCTGTCTGCTGTCACACTGACGGCACAGGTGGCCCTGGCCTCGGCTCCTCTGTATGAGTGAGGCTGCTGCCCATGTCCTCAAGGTGCGGTCGTGAGAACCAAAGGGAGATAGTTCACAGGGCCCAGGCCAAGCCAACCTCGGTCAGTTCATCCTTTCTTACACCTTAGGCCAGGCAGCCATTGCCCGGGGCCCTCCAGTGCCACCCCCTCTTCCTGTCTGCACAAGAGCTCGGTGCCCCCTGAGCGCTGTTCTCTGCTTTGCACGGTCCCCCACGGCGGCCGTGATGCCCGGATCTCCTTACCCTCCTCACGCTGCGGCCGAGCCGTGTGGGAAGCATTGCTTGCCACCTGCCCTGCTTCTGCTGTGTCTCGTCTCTCACGGGCCCTGTCCTCATCTTGATCGGCGCGCGGGGCTTTCTGCAGAGCTTTTCCTTCCCGCCGGCCTTCCTGTCCTGCTGGGCTGTGCGGGCCAGGGGTCCCGCGGCAGAGGGGGTCCTTCCCTCTCCGGTGCCTGGCCGCAGACTCCTGCGCGTTCATCCTGTAGATACTGTGGGAGCAGAAACACCCGTAAGGAAGTGCCCTAAATAGGGGACGCCGAGGAGCTGCAAGCAGTAACCTCCTTAGAGTCCTAGCAGTGACCCTGCGACCGCGGCGATTTTCCCTTAAAACTTTCCCTCGCAGCACCCCGCCGCGAGGCGGCCCTGCCGTGTCAGGGTGCGGGGAATTCAGGTTCCAGGGCACGGCCCTGTGCGTCTGGTGCGTTTGGTGCGTTCTGGAGAGCGGGGCGGAGCGGAGGGGCCGGGTTTGGCTGGGCGCAGTGGCGAGTGATGGATTTAGGAAGCGGGGGGCTGGGGACCGGGAGCTCGGTGCTGGTGGAAGAAGGTGCTCAGACGCAAGGCTGCGCGGCTGAGACGCACGGACCCCAGGGCCAAAGCTGAACACTGTTTTTCGTCTTCTTATCCAGATGGCTGCGTATTTCGGATTTTCTGTGGCTGCCACGGACATTAATGGGGATGAGTAAGTTTTTAAACAGTGTCCCCCAAACGGGTACCTTCTCGCGGCTGCACACGCTTCGCTGAAACTAGACGCTTTGGCGCCTGCTTTGCTCATCTCCTTCCTCGCCAACCTGCGTCCGGAGTCGCGGAGATCATTAGTAAACCTCTGGTTTTTAAAAATAGATTTTATAGGCTGGGGATTATAGCTCAGCGGCTCAGCGCCTGCCTGGCAAGCGCGAGGCCCCGAGTTCGATTCCCGGTACCAGAAAATAGTAAAAAGAAGACCAAAAAAAGAAAAAAAAAAAAGCCCTTTTAAAAGTAGGTTTTGTAACATGAAAAAAGAAAGTCAGTTTGATGAGTCAGCCGCAGGCTTTTAGAAGCGCCCGGGTCCTGAGTTTGGGAGAGATCGCAAAGCGGGGAATCTGAGTCCCTGCAAGAGCCGCGCCCAGGTGGACGAGCCTGACCCGGACTCTGGTCCTCAGCCTCGCAGACGTGTTCATCGGAGCGCCGCTCTTCATGGACCGGGGCTCGGACGGCAAGCTGCAGGAGGTGGGGCAGGTGTCGCTGGCGCTGCAGACTGCGTCCGGGGGCTTCCAGACCACCAAGCTCACCGGCTTCGAGGTCTTCGCGCGCTTCGGCAGCGCCCTGGCGCCACTGGGAGACCTGGACCAGGACGGCTTCAACGGTGAGGTCCGGCGCAGCCGCTGCGGGTGCCGATTTCCTGAGTCTGCCCAGAGGAAGGCCCCAGACCGCACCTGCAGAAGTGCGCTCTGGGAGGCCGAGGCAGGAGGATCGCAGATTCTAACCCAGCCTGGGCAACTTAGTGACTTAAGTGAGCCCTCTGTCTTGAAATAAAAAAGGGCTGGGATAAAAAATAAAAGTAGATAAATAAAATAAAAAGGGAGAGGGCTGAGGATGCAGCTCAGTGTGAAGGTCCTGTGTTCAGTTCCCGGGAGTGAGAAGAAAAAAAAATGTACGTGAGGAAAACCTGCTCCCCAGAAAGACGCAGCCTCCCTGAGTGACACCAAGTTTAAACACAGGTTGCTCTGCCTCCCTTCCCCCGCCAAATCAGAGCAAATTTTTTTCAAAGCCCGGAGCTCAGGAGTTATTTGTGCAGCTCAGGGTGGAGCGCAGCGTGATTTCACAGAGGCCCTTGTTTGAGGAAAAAGGTGCGAGCTGGGATACTGCGTCTCCGCCTCCCGCTGAGCGACAGCGCCCTCTACTGTCCCCGTGGCTACAGGTGCCGAAAGTGCACCCAGGCAGGTGGAGAAGGCAGTGCTGAGTCAGGTCACACAGTTGTTTGTTTCGTTACTGGAAAGGAATGCAGACTTAACTCTTGCTAAGCAGGCACTCTGCAACAGAGCTCTATGCCTAGATCTTTTTATTTTGAGACAGAGTTTTGCAAAATTGCTCAGGATAACCTCAAATTTGAGATCTTCCTGCCTCAGCCTCCTGAGTAGCTGGGAGTATAGGCGCGCACCATTGCTGTTTATAAAGCCAGCCTTAACTTACTGTAGCTATCTAAGAAGTTCTGAGCACAGCTATATGCCTCTTCATGGGAACATGCAAATGGTACGAACCCACTGTTTCATGGTAGTCCTATTTTGGTAGACATAGATATCTTTAAAAAGCGACGCTGACTTTCGCCCTATGACTGTTTTTAGAAGCATGAAACATAGATTACCAAGTTTTTTTTTTTTTTAAAGAATACTATTAAAATTTTTTTCTGGAGATCACAGGATGGAGAAATAAATGGTTTGTGTGTGTGAGCAATAACGTGGGGACGTGTGCCTCTCAAATGTACAGGGACGTTATTAAAAAGAAGCCTTTGAAAATACAGATGCCTTGCTCCTTGTGTAGGCTTGGCCTCTTCACCACAGTCCTCCCTTGTAGACAGCTGTAGGTTACACACCAGAAGGGTCTCCTGTACTAACTGTGCAAATTTTCAGGGTTTTGTAAACAACTAGTGTACATTTTGCTTCGAAAGGAAGCGTCTTAAAGAGTTGTCAGCGGGAGACTGTAACATACGTCAAATGGGAAAACCACTATTTATGGTAACAGAAACTGCCTGGAATATGCGGCCATGTTTGGGATTCTGTGTTGTGTACAATATCGAAGGCGTCCCTTGCTGGTGCCTGCATTTCTGGGGAATCCCTCGCACGCCTGCTGCCGCTTTGACGGGAGCGCAGTCCAGCCACTTGCAGAGCGTCCTTGATGTTGGGGTCTAGGCCGATGACCTCACCCTGCTTTTTATATTTTTGTTAGGATGTATTGTCTGTCCACACAACACATACGCACAGTGACAGCCCCCAAACTGACGTTTCACAGAGGTTTTACCCACAGCTTTTATTTTAGGAATGGATAACACGGTGTCGATGTTTTTCCCAAGGGTTCTCGTTTGGTCTTAGTATCACAAATGGTAGGTTGTGGATAAGAATGTCTTTAGGTCACCGGAGGGGCGTGCGTGCATGCGTGCGTGATGACGTACAGCGTGGATCTCTTTCGAGGACGTTAAGTGTCATTGCCCCGCCTTCCTGTAGTCCTGTCCACACCCCCAGCAGGAGAGCTCTTAGGCCTCAGAAGCAAGGTAGGAGGCCTCATCAACAACGAGACAGTAAGGCTGGCTATGTGGCCGCGCGGGAGTGAGGGCGGCTTGGGGAGGCCGCTCTGCAGCCGCAGAACAACTTTGCAAAGCCCTAGGGTGATTTTGTGCAGTTTTTGACCAAGCCTCTCCAGAAAAAGAGCAAGTAAAGTGATCATGGAGGAAACGAGTTGTGTGAGGATGAGGGCGTTGCAGACAGGACAGCTGGGAGAACCGAGAAATGGCAAACTTCCAAGGGTTTAGAAAATGTAGATTTCGTATTGTAGTTGTTCAGCATCGGAGCCATCTTTTATTGGGAAGTTGCATTTTAATAAATGCTTTCTTAGTGCATAAATCCATTCTGACATCGTGTCTGTCTTTCCCAGCTTTAAACGGGAATAAAGAAGGGCTCTTTCGGGCTAGAGATATAGCTCAGCGGCATAAGCGCCTGCCTGGCAAGCTTGACGTCATGAGTTCGATTTCCTGTACCAAAAAAAGAAGAAGGGCTTTTTTATGTAAATTAAAACCTGTTTTAAAAAAGATAACACATGCTTAGCTGCTGCCCCTGAAGTCCAAACACTCTGCCAGGTGCAAGAAATGGAACGGAGAGGCTGAGTCAGAGCCCACCTATGGCACAGTGTCGCACATCTGTAATTGTAGCGCTCGGGAGGCTGAGGCAGGAGGATCACTACAAGTTGAAGGCGAGCCTGGGCTACATAGTGAGTTCAAGGCCAGCGGAAGTACACAGTGAGCCCCTGCATCACAGAGCGAAAAAGCAGGCAAGGACATGGAGAGCGAGTGACAGTGGGCAGAGCAGGTTTGGACAGGCGGAAGGAAGGCTGCGCCCTGCCTGGGGGCTGGGTGGGTGTGGCTGAGAAACGACAGAAGGGACCGGTCTAGGATGGCAGAGGCTGACCCTGCCCGCTTTCCACCCTCCTTCCTAATGCGTCCTTCCTGTCTCCCTCCTTCCTCGCAGATGTGGCCATCGCAGCTCCCTACGGGGGTGAGGACATGCAGGGCCTGGTGTACATCTTCAACGGGAGAGCCTCGGGCCTGAGCCCGGCGCCCTCGCAGGCGCTGGCGGGGCAGTGGGCCGCGCAGAGCATGCCGCCCAGCTTCGGCTACGCGCTGAAGGGCGCCACGGACATCGACCGCAACGGGTACCCAGGTGCGGCCCGCGGCCCGGCCGCGCGCAGGAGCGCTGCCTGGCTGTGTGCGTGGTTGGCATTCCGCATGGTTCCCCTGAAACATTTTAGAGGCTGTGTTATTTCCACATTGTTCTCATCCCTGACGGGGATGTGAAGGAAAGACAGCTTAAGAAAAACAGTTCAGGGGCTGGGGATTTAGCTCACCAGCACAAGCGCCAGCCTGGCAAGCACAAGGTCGTGAGTTCGATTCCCGGTACGGGAACAAAAACCAAAAAACAAACAAACAAAAGAAAAACAGTGCAGACGCTGTAAACAGAAACTACTCATCCCAAGGTTTTGAAATGTTAGGCATCCTTTATTATTTTAAATGATCTCGCATCTTTACAGAGTAGCGGTGGGAACTGGGCATGCGTGTCACAGAATTTTTCTTTTAAGCCGAAAGATGTTAATGTATGAGTTGTTTTTCCTAAGCTGAAGCCTCGGCCTTCTAGTTTAGTTGCAGTGTTGGCACTTTGCGATCAGTAAGTAGGTTTTGGGTTGCAGTTTGGGCCCTCGTCTCTAGAAGGGTTCGCCATCACTGGATTAGTCTAATTTCTCTGGCTTTTAAAAAAGCCATTCTTTCATTTAGGAAGCCTGGGAATAAAACCAAGTTAGTTCACCATTAGACCAGATGTGGAAGGAGAGTCAGACTGGTCCCTGTCCCCAGGTTTCCCACTGAATTGATCCGCGCGGGCCCGGCCGGCTGCTTTGAGGCTCTTACACACTGGCAGTGTTCTCAGTGTGTCTAGGATCAGGAGGGGTCTTTGCTAGATACGAAATTCGGCTTAGAAAACTCAGGGGATCTTTGTTGTCAATATAGTAAATAGGAGCTCAGTGTACAAGCCTGCTGAAGTGCTCCTCGAAATAAGACAGAAACTTTGTTCTTACCTATAGATTGGCATTGTTTCAGAGTTTTTCTGGTATGAAAGCAGTATACTTATAACTAAACTTTTAGAAGATATAGCAAAATATATCTAATTGTTTTTCCATATTCATTTAACTATAATACGTATTCATATAGTTTTAAACAAAACTGAGTCAGTATTTATGTACTGCTTTTTTTTTTTGTACTGGGACTCGAACTCAGGACCTTGCTTTTGCCAGGCAGGCTCTGTGCTGCTGAGCTAAATCCCCAGCTGTACTGCTTATTATATATTGTATTCACTTAAAGTATCAGGAACATCTCATTTTGTTATTTTTTTAAGACATGAATTTTTAATATCCCATTCTAACAAATAGCTGTATCTTATTTTTGCCTTACTTTTGGCATTTATATCTTTATGCTTAATTCTGTTGCATAGCTCTGAATATTACCTTAGGAAAGTTTTGTGTGTAGGAGTGTTTGAGATAGGGTACTGCTATCGTAGCTCAGGCTGGCCTTGGACTCACTGTGAAGCCCAGCTTGGCCTTGAACTTGTAGCAGTCCTCCTGTCTCAGCCTCCAAGAGCTGGGATTCCAGGCATGTGCCACCATACCCAGCTCCTTAGGGACAAATCCTAGAATTGCTGTGTCAGAGGTGTGCAGTGCTTTTCTAGAAGCTGTTGGTACACGTGGTCAAATTACAATCCACTCCCTCCACGGAATTCTTTTTGTGAACCTCTAGCACTCACTATGAATAATTAGTGACCATTTCCCACGCTCATGCCTTTTAAAAAATAATTTTGACTCTATAATAGGTAGACAATATTATTTTAATTCAATTAACATTTTTAGTATAGGAAGGCATTTTTGTTCATGTCTATATTTTTTATTTCTTTTTCATGTTTTTTTCTTTTCTACTGAAATGTGATTTTCTTTTATTCATTTTTTAAGCTTGCTTTAAATATTGAACACTGTGTGTTTATTTTCCAGTTTCTCACAGTATGTATTTTAGGCAGAAAGAAGTTTAAAATGTTTATTTACTCCTCTGTACCCGGCTTTGTGCTTCTAATGTGCTTCTCTGCTTTGAAAGGCCTTTCTCAGGTGTATCTTGGGTGCATGGCGAGATGAAGTATGTTTCATTTTTTTCCAAATCTGAGACCCATCTGTTCCAGTTACACGTAAAAGCTAATACATTTGGTTTGTGCTGATTTGAATGCTATCTGCTGTCATGGGCAACATACCTCTATATGCCTTTTTGTTTTTGTTTTTGTTTTTGTTTTGTTTTGTTTTTGTCTTTTTGAGACAGGGTCTCGCTATGCAAGTCAGGCTGGCCTTGAGCTCACTTTTAGCCCAGGCTGGTCTCAAACTCAGAAAGATCCTCCTGCCTCAGCCTCCCAAGTGCTGGGATCACAGGCATGCACCACCACGCCCAGCTGCTTCTTTTGTTTTTGAAACAAGAGAAATGAGAAAAGAAAGAAATCCTACAATGGAATTGTAAGATCCACAGGCATCTGTAGAGCTCTTCCTGTTGAGGGCCTGCACTTCCTCACCGCTGCTCTTTTTACTGAGTGTCCACTAAGATAATTCTTGTCTACACGGATAAAAATCCAGTTTATGACCCACACTTGCACTGAAGCGGGTTGTTTACATATTTCAACTGTTTTAGCCTCACTCATGTTATCTTTACCCTTTAGTTCTGAAAATGTGTTTAAATCCTTTTACGTACATTAAGTGTATTAACACATTTTCCCACCTTCTCTTTTTTAAGACTTAATTGTGGGAGCTTTCGGCGTCGATCGAGCTGTCTTGTACAGGTAAACTCATGTTCTTGTACAGGTATAATCATGTAATATAGCAATGCTCTGAATTACTGGGAGGTTTTCAAATTAAGCGCCAGTGTTTGAATTGCAGTTTGATTTTTTTGCTTCAAGATTTGCTCTAGGCAAATCATACTTTTAGACAAGGAGGTCTCAAAGAAGAGAAGACTGTAGACTTTTTATTTAGAACAACATTCAGAATTTTCCCTTGTGTTTTAAATTTTGTCCAGAGACACTCTCCTGTGCTTTCTATTCTCTCCTCCTGTGTTTCTAATCTCTCTTTAAAAACTGCATGGGTGGCGGTGGGAGGGTAGCTCAGGAGGAGGCTGTGTGCCTAGCGTGTGTGAGGCCCTGGATTCAATCCAGCAATGAAAGAGAAAAATGTATACGGGTTTGTGTTTTCTATAAAAAGGAGGAAATTAACTTGATGCTACGCCTCAGAGTTCTGTGACCACAAGAACAGTGCATAATGAACCACAAAAGGAATATTTTATTAGAGCAGTGTGTATAAATGCATACATCTCTGCTTCCCAGCAACATATGTATTCCTGGTTCTCCGTGTCTTACCCGTTCCCGGTGCCTTAGAATGCCACCTGGTGTTGCAGGTAGATTAAGATGTTTACACTTCTGTGGACTGAATTCATACCTGGCAGGAAAACTAACACTGCTGCTGGGAAATAGTGTTTGTGTTGGTTCAACACAATTATAGCTATGGGAGAACGTGTATATCTGCAGATTTCAGGGATTTATCGTTTCAGGATAGAACTGTTGACCTGAGCCTACTATATTTTTCTGTAGGATTTAGACTTGTGCATCTCAGCTGTGAAGAACTGTATTTACAGGCTGAGAATCTCTCACCTGAAATGCTTACAATGAGAAGTGTTTCAGATTTTGGAGTTCTTCAGATTTCAGAATATTTACATTTACCAGTTGAGCATAGCTAATCTGAAAATCTCAAAGACTCAAATTCTGGAGAATTTTGAGCATTGGATTGGTACTTCAAAAGTTTCAGATTTTGGGATCGCAAAGCATTTTGTATTACGAATGTTCAATCTGAATAGTAATTTATTATTTTAGTTTTTTAAATTGCTGTTAATAGCTGGGTTTGATAGCACATACCTGTAGCTGCAGCACTTGGGAGGCTGAGGCAGGAGGATCACTGTGAGTGCAAGGCCAGCCTGGGCTACATCGTGAGACCTAAATCAAAAAAACCAAAAACAGTAAGAGTAACATGAGGTTATATTCCCATGGTAAATATTCAAACAGTACAAAAAGAACATCAATAAAAATGTATTTTTCATTGCAGTTGCCAGTTTATTAGTATATTCTACCAGAAGTGCCCTGCTTGTTAAAGAAATGATGTGTACATATCCTTGTATATCTGTAGGCGCTCCTTCTGTGCTGTGGGATTCTCTTCCTCTCGTACTACAGTTATATCTTGATGTATCTGGAGAGTATTCTGTGTCAACACAGGTCGGTTTGTGGCACTGACAGCTCCCAGTATAGTGAGTTATAGTAGGTGGGGATGGGGCAATGTCACGGCTCATTTAACCATCCTGTGGTAGTGGACTGAACTCAGACAGGCTGGCCGATTTTCCCACTTTGCCTGGAACTGAGTGACTTCCCAGAACACAGGACTTTTTGTCTGAAATCAGGGCATTTTGGGCCACTGGGCATGATTGGGTATCTTAGACTCCTGTTGTATTTGCTGTTGCAGTGTTTCAGTAGACCTTGTGTCCTATCCGTGGTGAATAGTAACCTAAAATGCTTACATCGATCTAATTATTTATAACATTTTTCCTTTTTCTTCCTTTTCTTTTTAAAATCTAGGGCCAGACCAGTTATCACCGTAAACGCTGGCCTGGAAGTCTCCCCTAGCATTTTAAATCAGGACAATAAAACTTGCCCGTTGCCTGGGACGGGTCTCAAAGTTTCCTGGTAAGAATATTTGTACAGTCATGGTGGTGATTGTGATTAGTAGTTCAGCCACTTAAGGGCTGAACTATTACTAAACAGTTTCTGTGAATTGACTCTGTTTTCTTGTCAAAGATTGGGTTAGAGGAATTGTTTTCTAAAGAAGCTACCTAGCAGGCTCTAGAAGTATTCTATAGACTAGTGTAAAAGCACCTTTTATTTTATTTATTTTGTTTTTGTTTTTTTCTGGTACTGGGAATCAAACTCACGACGTTGCACTCGCCAGGCAGGCGTTGTGCCACTGAGCTAAATCCCCAGCCCCTTAAAAGCACCTTTTAAAGAACTACGATCAAGTATATTCAAAAAGAAGGAAAAGCTAATAAGACTTTAGAACTCATTTTATATTTAATTTTAAACAGGCACTTGAACATTTAAAAATTAAAAAGATAAGACCCTTTTTAGATTTCATATCTATGAAGAGCTATATGAAAAATTATAGTGGTTTTTTTTTTTTTTTTTTTTTGGTTTTTCTCCGATACTGGGAACTGAACTCACGACCTTGCGCTTGCCAGGCAGGCGCTTTTGCCGCTGAGCTAAATCCCCAGCCCCTATATGAAAAATTATAAATAAAATTACATTATATATAAAATTATAGTTATAAAAATTATTAAAATGCTCTAGGTAGCATTTTGGTCTTTTACTTGCTCCTTTGCTAATTTATTCCTAAGCCCAATGTCTGAATTCTTCTGTCCAGTGTTGTGTTTCCAAATTCTGTCACGTGTGTGCTACTCCCATGATTTTTGCTATATTTTCATCCTGCATATATTTTCTTGAGTTTTCTTTCTTTTTCTTTCTCTTTTTTTGGGCTTTTTTCCGGTACTGGGAATCGAACTCACAACCTTGTGCTTGCCAGGCCGGCACTATGCTGCTGAGCTAAATCCCCAGCCCTTCTTGAGTTTTCTTTAAATTGACTTACCTTCAAAATACTTAGAAAAATAAAGTATAGAAGCCAGTATCTTTCTCACATATGTCAAAGTAAATATGAGGTTAATTATTGCAAGAACTTTGCCCATGTGCTGTTAAAATCACCAGGAGTGGCCTGCTTTGGGGGACACTGTTTATGTTCCTTATAAAAAAATCACTGAGAGTTTACAGCTAATGAGGAGGACTGGTAGCAAGGACAATTTTCTTTCAAAAGAGCTGGTGAAAGATATTTTTTGTTTTTGAGTTATTCCAGCCATTAAAATTTTATAATTTTGGGGGGGAGGTTACTGGAAACAGTCACGTTTGTTTTTTGTTCTTGTTGATTGGCTGCGAAGTTGTTTTCAGGCTTGTGGCTTCCAGTTTTACTACCTCTGTTCCTCCATTCACCTTACACGTGACCGTGTCGTGAGTGTGATTGTAATTATGCTAATAACTAGAAGGCCAGAAGTGCACCATTAATGACAGTAGTAACTTCCATACCATTTAGACTGTGGTGCAGAACAAGAAAGACATTCTGCACCATAATTCAGTAAACACAATACTTACATCCATTTTGTTTATTTAATTTTTCCAAGATGTTGGATATGGTCTGTTAAACTGATTTCATGACCTGTGAAGAAACCGTACAAAGAAAACCCTTCTCTAGAGGAGCTTGCCAATTAAATGGTGCTTCAGCGGGGCTTTTTACTAAGTGAGGCATTATTTCCAATCTGAGCTGTCAACCAAAAAAAAAAAAAGGGGCCGGGGATTTAGCTCCGCAGCACAGCGCCTGCCTGGCAAGCGCAAGGTTGTGAGTTCGATTCCTGGTACCGGAGAAAAACCAAAAAAAAGAAAAAAAGAAGACAACAAAACCAATCTGAGCTGTCATTCTCCTCATTTAAATGGAACATGTTTGGTCAACTCGGGAGGAGCTTGGCATATTCCTTCCCTTTGTCTCATCAAGAAAGGAAACAGACTTAGATTACTGAAGGGTGAGTTAGATTGGCCCGAGTAGTTTCATGTTTTAACAGTAACAGTGAGACACAAGGCCTCGAAGTAGAAGGACACTGGGCACCATTTCAACCAAGTATGGGTTTAAATGTCAAAAATCCGTGTCCATCCTACATGAGTACAGGCTTTACTTTCTCATCACCTTTCCCCAAACAAGGCAGCATGTTTGTGTGTTTGTTTTGGTGCTGGGAATCGAACCCATGACCTTGCACTTGCCAGGCAGGTGCTGTGCTGCTGAGCTATCTCCCCGGCCCCCCGCAGTACAACTGCTTATACAGTGTTGACATTGTATTGATGGTGAGGTAGAAACGTTGGATGTGTGGGAGGGTATCTGTTGATTCTATACAAACACAACAGCACTTTATTAAGGGAGCTGAGTGCCCACTGAGTCTCCTATCTGTGGGATAGTTCCCAGCCCCAGAGACCACTGTATTAGTCCTGCGATAGTTGGGTGATATTTACAAGTATATCTGAACTGGATTGTAGAATTTACGTGTTTTTTTATTTTCTTACAGTTTTAACGTCAGATTCTGCTTAAAGGCAGATGGCAAAGGAGCACTTCCGAGGAAGCTCAGTAAGTGTCTTATGAGAAAAACATACTATTTTAATGCTGCTGTACACAGAGCACTTGAAAAAAATGCTTTAATGCTGAGTACAGTGTTGTGTGCCTGTAATCACAGCGCTTGAAAGGCTGGGGCAGGAGGATCTCCAGTTTGGAGCCAGCCTGGGCGACAAGATGAGCTCAAGCCAGCCTGGACCAGATGGTGACACCCTGTTTCAAAACAAAAAAAAAGAAAGGCCAACAACCGCAGCAAAAAGAACAGTTGTAGGATATTTGGATAGTATTGTTCGTAATGAATGTTACATATTAAGACGTGTTTGCATTTTCATTCTTAAAGACTTTAAAATGGCAAAGTAGTTGCTTTCTTGGACGACTCTTGAGCCAGTTCAGAACTAACACATTTATTAAGGGCCGCGAGCAGAGCAGCCCCAGGATGGAGCCTGTGCTGCCTTGGGCCGGGTTAGTGATGCGAGAGAAGTGAATTCTGGGAAAAGGAGCCGCTGTTTTTCAGTAGCTGGGGAGACCCCCGGAGCAAAGGAGTGAGAAGCAGAGAAAGCTTTGGCCACTAAATTTAATTCACGCAGTGGCAGATAGTGACTCAAGATCTGTCCCGGGTTCCCTGCTGAGTAGTACTACACAGAGGGCGCTGAGCTGGGGTAGCGGGAGTCCTGGCACCCCTGGGGCTCATGCCACAGAGGCAAGAGCTGTGCCGGGAAGGCTGAGGCAGGAGAGTGCTCAGTGTGTTTGAGAAACTAGTGAGGGTCCGTGTGGCTGACTAAAACAGAACCCAGAGCAGATCAACCCTGGGCTTTCACCTGGGTGTGAGATGAGAGGTTCGAGTAACTTACGGTTTTAAGAACTTGAACTCCTGTCCCTTTAAGAAACTATGTAAAGACCTGAATCTTAGAAGGCCTTAATCCCAGCAGCTGTGCTTCAAGCGCTCTTTGGTTTTTTTGGCAGTGCTGAGGCTCGAGCGCAGGGCCTCATGCATGCTAAGCAAGCACTCCGCCGTGGATCTACATGCCCAGCGCTTTTTATTTTGAGACAAGGTCTGGCTCAGTTGCCTATGCTGGCCATGAACTTGGGATTCTCCTGCTTCAGCTTCCGGAGTAGCTAGGATTGCAGGCATGGCCACAGCACCCAGCCTGTGCTTCAGACTCTCGAACGCAGGTTTATCTTCGAATGATCCTTGACCATTTATGCTCCATGTGGCCTCTTGCTTCCAAGGTGCTTATTTCCCCGGTAATTTCCTGTGTTGGCAGGAGTTACGGGTGATCCCGTGCATGGCTCATCCGTCCTTGTGTTTAGTGCAGTGACTGGGGCACACAGCCATGCGTGCTTCTCCAGCAGAATTGCCGAGTCTTGGACTTGGGTTAAGAGTAGAAGTCTTTGCTGTTGTTGTCATTGTTTGCTGAGGGTTGGACCCAGGACCTGGCACCTGCGAGGCACTGGCACCACCCGTCCCTCTGCCCGGGGATGAGAGGCTCCGTTCACATCTGTTCCGCCCTTTGGATGCCCTCTTTCCCTTGGCTTACATGAAAAGACACAGTTCTTCATCTGCTATCTCTTTACGACCATCATTATTTAGAATTATGTATATTACCTTGGGAAGGGTCAGATTAATTCTTTAATTATTATGAAATAATTATTCCAAATTAACATGGTGTAGTCTCACTACCATGTATAGGCCTGATTTGGAAAGAGATTATTTGTCAGAAATAAATACGTGCGTGTATGACAACTCTAGATGCCTAGCGCAGGGCTGTGTCCGTAGGAATATGTTGGTTATAAACCCTCTGATCTGTGTAGACTTCCAGGTGGAGCTTCTTTTGGATAAACTCAAGCACAAAGGAGCAATTCGCAGAGCACTGTTTCTCCATAACAGGTCCCCGGCTCACTCGAAGAACATGACCATCTCCAGGGGGGGCCAGAAGCAGTGTGAGGAGCTGGGGGCGTATCTGCGGGTAAGAGGCACTCTCTGCTGCCGTCTTGTTTAGTTACCACTTTTTCTTTCTCATTGAAATTATTTTTGCTTCCAATAAACTGGTATTTAACCAAGAGGAAAAGCACAGCACAAAGATGCACCTGAGGAAATCTGGCTTTTGAAGCGTGCAAGCTGACCCTGGGATGCATGGGCTTCCCTCCTGGCAGACAGGATGTTCCAAGTGGCCTTGGCACAGCAGCGTGAGTGAGGAAGCGTAATAAACACACGTCCTGAACATTGCTGGCCTCATAAGACAGTCGCCAGACTCTCCAGGCCCCCTGAGTCTGAGTTGGGAGCTGAGAGGCGATGAATGGTTGTTGGGGAAGGGCGGGTCTTGGGGACAGCGGGGCAGTGACCGCAGACCTCAGTCAGGGGTTCAGACCCACAGAGGCTCCTGCATTAGGCGCAGACCCTCAGAGAAGCGCGTTGCTGTGAGGCCCAGGGTGCACAGAGCAGGCGCACAGCCTGAGGAGAGCCACGCGGCGGATGCCCCAAGGGCCAAGGTTAGGTTCAGTCAAACGTGAGCTCCCCAAACAGAAGTGAAAAGAGAACACCCCCCATCCGTACGAGGATGCCAGCGGCTAGAAGATACCAGATTTTACACCTGTGAGGACGTGGGAGTTGGAATTATCAGTTACATGATATAAATTTGTATAAAATACTTAAAGAGATAAAGGATGAGAATTTAAAAAAGACAAAAGCATCAGTAACGGTTTAGCAGACGTGGTATAATTAACGTGATTGATGTAATAGACCTATAGAGAACCCAGCATGCAACAATTGGAGGATACAAAAATTGACCCATAAAGGGAGTTTAAATGTATTTCCAGAAGTGGTAGCATAGAAAACACGCTGTCAGATCGCGGCACAGTCCCGTTAGCTTTCCAGTACTGTAAGAAATATCTGAGGCGAGCAGCTTACAAAGAGGAAAGGTTTTCCGTGGCTCAGAGTTTTGGAGGTGCCAGGAACTTCGTCAACCTCATTGCTCACTGGGTCTGAAGTGAGGGCAAAGCTGCTCACCTCAGAGCTGGGAAAGAGGAGGGGGACAGTGTCCCGACATCATCCTCAAGGGCTTGACCCCAGGGACCTTCAGACCTCCCGCTAAAGATGCCCCACTTCTGAACGAGCCTGCCCCCCACCCCTGGGGGAGCCCCGATGGTGACCAGATGTTTAGTATGTGGATCTTTGGAGGACCTTTAGGGTCCAAACCCCAGCAACAGTTTTTATCAGTAAGAGAAAGTTAGAAAATTGGTTTCCTGGGGAATCACAGAAAATGTGATTCTAAATAACTGAATGGTTTAAAAAAGGATCATGATGAGTTTTACCTAGAACGGAATCGTCACGAAAATGCTACATATGACAATGGGTGAATGCCATGGAAGCCAAATTAAAGATACATGTATTTATTCCCTTAAGTGATGTGTAAGTGAATGGTTGACAAAGAAAATAATAAAGAAGAAGTACAGAAAATCCCCCACAAAACTTGGAGTTGAAAAGGGACATAAATAACTGTAAAGTAGGGATTAAAATAGCAATATCATGATAAGCTTTTGCTAAATATAGGGAAACTGAAGCAGAAATTTTTAAGCATACAGAATACAACTGCCATGAGAAGAAATGGAAAACCTGGATGATCCTCAGCCATTTTTGAATAATTGAATTCAAACTAAAAATCTTTACACCTGGGCATGGTGGCACAGGCCTGTAATCCCAGCACTTGGGAGGCTGAGGCAGGAGTATTGCTGTGAGTTCAAGGCCAGTCAAGGCTACATAAATGAGTTCAAGGCCAGCCTGCGTTAACAGTGAGACCTTGTCTATAAATGAATGAATGAAAATGTATGTCTTTACACAAAGGAAGCTCAGGCCTGGGGGTGGTTGACAGACTTATGAGACATTTTTGATCTTAAAACAAATCCATCAAATCAGAAAAACTAAAAAAATTTCCAATTCATCCTGTTACACAAGAATTACCACCTTGATTGATCAGCAATAGTACAAGAAAGTGGAATTTCAGGCCCGTTGTACTCAAAAGTACTTATGTAGCATTACTAAATCACCACAAGTGAACAATTCATAAAAGAAGAGCAATAGGTCAAGCAAGATTAATTCTAGGGTAGGGTAACATTAAAGATCAGGACTTGGAACTTACTGTATAAATAGACTGAGGTAAAAAGATGACCGTCTTACTTAGGTACAGGAAAAGCTTTTGATTAAATCACATAAAGTTTTCACAACTTAAGAAAGAAAAAGACAAAGTTCTAACTATGAAGAAATACAAATTTAAACGTAAACAAAGCCATGAGCTGCTATTAGTTGGTTAAGATGTGAATTCATGGGCCTCTTACACATTGCTGATGGTAGTGTAAGTTGTTAGGCAGACTGGAAAAGAACACAGTAAGATAGAGGTGACAGATCTTGTCACTATGTTTAAAATAATCACTGCAACAATTTTTGTAATAGCACAAGCACACCCAAAACAGCCTAAATAGCAATGGCTAAATTGCACTGTACTACATGATGAAATGTTGCTCAACCGCAAATTTAATCTTGGCCATATGCAAGCGGAGGTGAATGTTCAATGGAAAGCAAATCATAGTCTACGGAGAATCCCATTTTCTGATACATGAGGAAAAAGCACACCTGAAGAATATGCTGTTTACTGACACGCAAAGTAGTAAAAGCTGGATTCATCAGACCTATATGCATTTGGCCCCCAACAATTTGAGACTATAAATACCGATGATACATCGGACACAAAAAGATGTCCAAAATTTTTCCCCAGAAAATGATGCCATAGAAAAGCAAGCCAGGGAATGGCAAATCTAACACTGGGTAGTCACTTCTCTGCGCAGGGAGCAGAGGGTGAGAGGGGAGGGGCCGATGGAAGCTCCGTCGGAATCAGCATTGTTCTAGTTACTATGCTGGGTGTGCGTTTTAGTGCTCATCTCATTAACATGCCTCACGTATTTTCTGTGAGTAGCATACATCGTAAAACAGAAACTGCTTAAAAGCCCTCGGTAGATAACGGTAAGCTTTTGAAAGACTCCGCTTTGAACTACACTTACACAATAGCGTTTCTCAGTTTGCTTTGAAGGCGGTTCAAGAGAGGCGCACAGCTGGCTTGGGGTTTGTGGTGTGGATTTCCCTGGATCGTTTAGGTCGATGCTGTCTTTAATTGGAGGCTTTTGCCTTTCTAGGATGAATCTGAGTTTAGAGACAAGCTCACCCCGATTACTATTTTCATGGAGTACCGGCTGGATCACAGAACGGCGGCGGATGCCACAGGGCTGCAGCCCGTCCTCAACCAGTTCACCCCCGCCAACGTCAGCCGGCAGGTACGCGGCCCGGGCCCAGACGTTGGAAGGGAGTGCGCTCCTCCAGCTGGGAGACTGGTCAAACAAGTCAGAGGGGAAGGAAGCTGAGCTCTTAGGTCAGAGATATTTAAACCCACTTAGAACTTAGTTCAGAGAAGGACAGGGTCATATTTCATATACATAAAGCAATGCAAGGAAAAATACCAGTTTATTTACACAGTGGCTTTTTAGTATTTTGCTAACCACCATCTCTGATATCTCTATCACCTTCTTTCTCCTTTTTTTGGTGTTTTGAGAGTAGATACCCTGGGCTGGCCTTGAGCTCATGATCCACCTGTTGTGGATCATTCAGGACAGCCTCCTGAATGCTAATACTCATGTTATCTTTGATGTACATTTAAAAAGAGTGGAACATATTCACATATACATGGAGAATACATAGATAGCTCTTTTTGGCTGTGTCTCGTGGCACACACCTCTAATCCCAGCACTGGGGAGACTTTATTTTTTATTTTAAAGAGGAAAAAAAAAAATCAGACCACACAACTTAGCAAAACTCTGACCCAAAACAGGAAAATAAAAAAGGGCTGGGAATGTAGCTTGGTGGAGAGGATCAATGCCCAGCAGCAAAAGCAAACAACAGAAACCAAAAACTAATACAAAACAACGGTCTATATTTAAATATTTCTATTTCCTATTCCTTTTATTGTTTCATGTTCATATTCTTAGATTAATATTTTTTCTCAGAATTCTTTTTTTTTTTTTTGTCTTTTTGAGACAGAGTCTCACTATGCAGTTCAGGCTGGCCTTGAGCTTGCTTTGTAGCCCAGGCTGGTCTCGAACTCGCAACAATCCTCCTGCCTCAGCCTCCTGAGTGCTGGGATTACAGGCGTGCACCAACATACCCGGCCTCTCAGAATTCTTTAAACTCAATCTAGGGTTTTTTTTTGTTTGTTTGTTTGATTTTGGGTTTTTTTGATACTGGAAGTTAATTAGGGTCTCCTGCATGGTAGGCAAGTGCACTACCAGTGAAGAACATTCCCGTTTTTTTGTTGTTTTTTTAATATTTGAGATGGGTATCAAGTTGCCCAGATTGGCCTCCCGTTTACAATCCTCCTGCCTCAGCCTACTTTGTCTTCCTTTCTAAAAGATCTCTTGGGATACTTTTTTAGACGGGGATATAGAGATGGGGGAGACGGGGTAATTTGAGAGGAGTAGATGTATGACAGCAGTATAATAAGGAAGCTAAAATATTTTTAAGCGTTTTTAAAATAATTTTTATGTTTTAACAATTCATTGTTGTATTTCATTTTACACATTAATAACCCCAGTATATTTGCAATTTTGATAAAGTTCTGATAAATTTTGATGAATAATAATGAACATCAAACATCTGGGCCTCTTAGGGTCTATTATTCAGTATTATGCTTTCCATAAAGATGGATTTTACTTCTCCCTTTATTGTGTCCGTGTTTGTCAACAGTGAAATGATGCGCTTTAAGATTTTCTTCCACATTCTTAGCTTTGTTACTTGTTCCTGTGGTAATTCCCTACCTCATCATTTTTATTATTTATTCCTAAATGGAGCCTTCATTTCCTTAGTCATATTACAGACTCTCCTGTTGCAGTCTGCCTGCAGATTACCGATGCCGAACAGAAATACAGTATACGGCAAGCCACATTCATAACTTTAAATTTGGTGGTTAGTGAAATTTTTTTAAAGGTAGAAAGAAAACCGGTGAGGTTAATTTGAATAAGTTATCTGTGTTAGTTTGCCAGGGCTACCTTAACAAAGTACCACAGACCCTGTGGCTCAGATAACAGGAACTGATTTTCTCATACTTCTGCAGGCTTGACAGTCCAGTCAGGTGGTGAGCAGGGTTGGTTTCTCTGAGGCCTCTGTCCTGGGCTGGTGGGTGTTCACCTGCATGTTCAGGGGGTCTTTCCATCTGGGTGTGTCTCTCTGGATTCCTGTCCTACAAAACACAGGTCAGTCATATTGGATGAAGGCCGACCTTGGTCTCACTTCGGTCAGCTCTCTGAAGACTTAGCTCCCAGTACAACCCTATTCTGAGCCACTAGAGGACAGGATTTCAACATAGGATTTGGGGCACACATAATTCAGCCTATGACAGTATCCAAAACATCATTTCAACACAGTCAACTTAAAAGTTGTCAGTACATTCAGTCATTACATTCAGTTTTTATAATCCCCCAAATCCCAAGCATATTATACACATAGCGCATGTATAAACTCAGTAAGTTTTCATTGAAAAATATGTTTTTGTACTTAGAATTCATATAATTTACAGCTGAAAAAGTACATGTGTACAATTAAGTTGTTCTAAACGTGCTAAAAGTTTTTCAGTAGTGGATTCAAATACCCATTTTTAAATGTAAATGAATTAAAATAAACAAATGCGGGGCTGGGGATTTAGCTCAGCGGCACAGCGCCTTCCTGGCAAGCACAAGGTCGTGAGTTCGATTCCCGGTATCAGGAAAAAATGAAAAATAAAATAAACAAATGCAAAAATCAGTATCTCCATCACACTAGGCATGTTTCATGTGCTCAGAAGCCATGTATGGCTTCCTAGTGGCAATTCTGTTGGTTTTTTTTTTTTTTTTCTTCCAGTACCAGGAATCGAACTCATAACCTTGCGCTTGCCAGGCAGGCGCTTTGCCGCTGAGCTAAATCCCCAGCCCTGGCAATTCTGTTGGACAGAGCAGAATTAGAGTTTCATCCTTTGGAATTGGACTGAGTAGTGTTTTCTGCAGAAAGAATATTTTCCTTCATTTTTAAAGTTCAAGTATATATTGAGTTCTTCCTCCATACAAGATAGGAAGCATGTAACCCTAGAGATATGTTTCTGTAGGCATGCAAGATGTTGCTTTGTGAAACCATCTCTCCCCAGAGCACATGTTAATACTGTAACTGCTCCAATGCTAGTTAAGTCCTTTTTCTTCTCTTAAAGTGGTAGTTGGCCAGGTATCCCTTTACCGCTATTTTATAAATAATAAATTACACAAATTTCAGATGCATACCATATCACTATTTCATTAGTTATCTGCCAAATCCACTCCTTATTCTTGAACTAATTGAGCAGTGATTTATACCTGGTGTGACAAAGAATCATCATAAATTTTTCTAATGGTTGTGACTTTTTCTTTTTTCTTAAAGCTTAGAGCAACCGCTTATGTCTAGGTGATTGAGTTCATTGACATAGGTTTTTTCGGGTTTCATGCTAATAAAATGGCAGTTCAGATCCCTGTCATATAATGCCATTCTGAGTAGCTGTGCATCTCTTATGATTTAGAAGTATATAATCATCATCTAGTTTTAAAGAATTCATTATTCTCCCCCCCTTAAAATGCTTTCATCTCTACTTTTTATCTGCCTTTCTCTCTCTGTCAAGGTCTGAAGCCCTTTGGATGCTAGGAGACCCATTCTGGCTTCACCTTTATTGATCCTTTTGTGAACTTTTGCATTCTCTCTTCCCCACTGTCTGCTTCCTTCCTTCCTTTCTCCTCCCCTTATCCCCTCAGGTTTTCCCACACTGGTTTTCCCACTCCGGCTGGTTTTCCCACTCTGGCTGGTTCCGTCTCCTGGCCAGATGCAGAGGAGAAAAAGTTCAGGTGTTTGCTTCTTTCACCTGTCCCAGTCATTTTAGTTCTTGTCCCTTTCTTCCTTTCTGAGTGGCTGTGCACATGCTGGGCTCGTTCTGTTTCTCTCCCCCTGTGGTCCTCCTCTCTGCATTGCTGCCGCTGTCTGCAGCCCCTTCCTCCCTTACCCTCCGCACCAACATTTTCATGAGAAATTCTAGAAGGAAGCTTATTTTGCCCAAGCTCGCACAGCTTAGCTGGCAGCAGAGCGCAAATGAACTCTTTATTTCTTGACTTACTTTCTCTCCTACCCCAGACTTTGTTTGTTGTTTTCCGTTCTTGACTGGTGACACTGACCTGGCTATAAATAAATAAGTGGCCACAGTCACTTTGCCTCCAGGAATACAAGCAAGCTGATGGGTACATAGGAATATCTGCATGTATGCATCTACTTGTACACATATATACACACTGTGTGCACAACTTAATTGCTATTTTTTTATGTAAAAAAAAACCGCAAAATGTCTTTTCTAGGCTCACATTCTGCTTGACTGCGGTGAAGATAATATCTGTAAACCCAAGCTGGAGGTTTCTGTAGATAGGTAAGTGTTACTCCAAACAACAAATGTTATCGTATAAAATTTAAATGAGCAGCACCTTTTCCCATTCTATTAATATTTTAAAGAGAATTGATTATAATAAAATAATGCATGATTGTTATAATAAAACTATTTATCATGAGCTGAGAAATATATATACTCTGTTTTCACTAGTTCCCCGTCCTGATTTATAACCATTCAGCTTTAAAGTAGTGTCGCAAAGTAATATTATATGATCTGAAAAATATACTTCCTTGCACACATACGCTTTTTTTTTTTCTGGTACCAGGAATCAAACTCACAACCTTGCGCTTGCCAGGCAGGCGCTGTGCCACTGAGCTAAATCCCCAGCCCCTGCACACATACTCTTAACTCTAAGGATACCCTTACCATTTTGTAGAACATAAAGTGGCAAGTTCATTGTGAAAATTATGATGAAGAAGTAATTCAGCTTTTAGAAAAATAATTAGGGAATTAAACAGTGCATAAAGATATAAAGTTACTCCTGTGATAGGAATACCAGTGACTTACTAGTGGCATCGGTGTTTTCTTTTATGGAGAGAAGAATTAGGTTTGCCCCCAGCGTGCTGTTTTCTTTTTTCTATCAAGCTGCGGAGAGATCTTTTAAAATACCCCGAAACCCTGCGGAACGGATCCCTGCTGCCTTTGTATTTATCTCTTGTTCCTTTGAACAGCCCTGTGCTCCCGTATACACTTCACTCACTGTCTGCATTTGTCTTAACTTCCAGTGATCAAAGGAAGATCTATATTGGGGACGACAACCCTCTGACGTTGATCGTGAAGGCTCAGAACCAAGGAGAAGGCGCCTACGAAGCCGAGCTCATCGTGTCGATCCCCCCGCAGGCTGATTTCATCGGGGTTGTCCGCAACAGCGAGGTAAGCAAGCTGCCGCTCCAGAAACCCAGGTGCACCCGCACAACTTGCTAACACTAATGGGCTGCTCCTGTACCTAGGGCTAAACCAGAGAACAGTAGAGTGCCTGCCTTCCCTAATTCCTTTTCAGCCTAATGCTTTGCTTAATGCATCAATAGAGCGTTTTTAGAATAGCGAGCAAAGTGCCTGCAAATGAGGTCAGCTAGGTAAAGTACCATCGCGGTGTCTGCTGACCACCCTGCGGTTCAGAATCACTTGCACCTGTGGCTGTGGCCCCTGCAGCCCGTCCTGGTTTCTCTCTTCCGCCATCTTTGCTCAAATAGATTTATTTGCTTCATAAGGAAATGTAAATATGTAACTGCTTGATATTGTGTAGGAACTTTGTGTTATGGAAAAGTAGTTGTTTCTGCTTTTTTGGCCACTAATTTCCGTTTATATCCTTTTTCTTTGTCCCTCACAGGCTTTAGCGAGACTCTCTTGTGCATTTAAGACAGAAAACCGAACCCGGCAGGTGGTGTGTGACCTAGGAAACCCCATGAAGGCTGGCGCACAAGTAAGGCGTTCTCAGTGAACGCACCCCACTCCCCACTCCGCCACACTTACACAAACAGACTGCAGTACTTTTCTCTGGGTTTGTTCATAGTAATAAAAAAAAGACCCTTCAAAATAGTGCCTCTAAATTTGTTTTTCTGTAGAATGATTAATGATTAGCAAGGTTCTGTTAGTTTTAACTAAGATATTAAAATAATGGATTGTTCTAATACACTATATGCAATAAATGGCGCTTTGGTCAGTGGATAGGAATGTGTTTTAAGAGCTGAAATTATAACTTTGGTGTTTTAAACTGATGCTTTAGCCAGGTGCAATGACATGCTCCTGTAATCCAAGCTCCTGGGGAGGCTGAGGCAGGATGATCTCCAATTTGCCACCAACCTGGATAATATAATGAAATTCCCTGCCCAAAAATGTTAAATTGATGCTTTCATGGATCATCAGAAGCCACTCTGGCAAATACCAGGACTGTTGTTCTTTAGTGAGATAGAACAGGGTTTCGTTTTAACTTGTAACCCTATAATACATGTACCACAGAGAAGACCAAAGAGACAGCTGGATCAGGCTCCAGGTTGATGGTGGGGCGGGGAGCACAGGCGCTCAAAGAGAAGCACCAAAGAATATCTTTTCAAATCCTTTAACAAGGAATCAAAATACAGTTTGTCTTTTCCTGGCATCTGGGGGAAAAAAAAAAATGACAGTATATGTTGTGTTGAGTTTTACCTTCGAGCTCGTTTAATGTGGCGCTGGACTGATACCCGTAACGTGCAGATTTGTATTAGAATGGGACTCCCACGTTTCTCTAAGAATGATTTTCGGAGACAGTCATCCTAGAGGTGCAGCGTCTTGGGGGAAAGAGCTTGGACGCAGTGCGCCCCGTTCGTCACCTGCACTCAAAGTGCTGCTGAGAGCACAATGGCTGGCTGTCCTGTCATTTTCGTCTTCCCCAACTCTCTGTCGCCCCAGGCTCAGTGGAGCGAGGTCCTCTGCTCCATACACCGGCTCCGGGCCATGTGAGCGGAGTGGTGCCCAAGGGTGCCATTTTTATGTCTCCTTCCTGTGACCACCAAGAAGCTGCTTCTTGTGTGCTAGGCCTCAGCTCTCTGGCCGCTGTGTGAGCTGTGAGAGGGCCGGGTCTGGTTCCGGCCCTGCCCACACCTCTCTGAGCCAGGTTCTCCTCCCCCGACACCCTCCCAGTTCTCCCTTCCTGGCCCCGTAGCGTGGGAACTCATAGCTCTCTGCCACTGACTCCTTGTGCCTGACTGTTATACTTTAGTGGCCTCAGTAAACATTTACTTTTACAATTTTTAGAAAGGTAGTTGATACCGTAGGCAGGTGTAATTATGATTAATAATTGTTGTTCAGTAGGCTGGTTTTGGATGAGTTTATGTATCTTAAGTAAAAAAGGCTCAGTAGAAGAGCAAATTTAGCCTGGCATGGTGGCGAATGTTTGTGATCTCCGGAGGGTGAGGCAGGAGGATCGCGGCAAGTTCAAGGCCAGCCTTGGCTACAGAGTGAGTTCAAGGCCAGCCAGAACTACATAGAGAGAACCTATATTTAAAAACCATACCAAAAAATAAGATTTAATTATCCTTTTTAACTTTTCTTATAAACTCAGAGAAACTGTCTTTTATAAGATTTTTTTTTAATTTGGTCATTGGATTGGAAATGTGTAATTTCTAATTCTAAATTAATGACTAATATTACCATCTTTTTCTCTCCCCTTCAGCTCCTGGCTGGTCTTCGTTTCAGTGTACACCAGCAATCAGAAATGGATACTTCTGTGAAATTCGATTTACAGATCCAAAGGTGTGAAAACAACTCATATTCCCCTATTTAACTATTGAGAAAATGTTACAAGGATATTATGTAATATGCTTTAAGTATTACAGAATTATAGAGATTCAGACTTTAGTTCCTGACGATAGGATTTGTGAAAATCAATATTTATATTATAAGAATTTGTCAACTTTGAGTTTATAAAACAAAATTAATAATTAAGAAATAAAACTCAGTCATCTTGGAATTAAATGCTGATGAAAAGAATTGCTTCGATTTATAAGGCTTTCATGTCTTTGTTACTTTGAATTGGCTCATTTTTTGTTTTGCTGGGTTTGTCTGTGTATGATTTTGATGATAACTGTGCTGAATTCAGTCCTAAATATGTTTTAATTTTCCTTTTCAGCTCCAATCTTTTTGACAGAGTGAGCCCTGTTGTATCTCACAGAGTGGACCTTGCTGTGCTAGCCGCTGTAGAGATACGAGGGTCAGTATGATTACAAGGTTGGGTCCTTTGTCGCCATGTTGCCTTTATTTTTTTAAATTTTTTTTATTTTTTCCGGTACCAGGAGTTGAACTCAGGACCTTGCGCTTTCCGCGCAGGCTCTGTGCCGCTGAACTAAATCCCCAGCCCCCACCATTTGGACAGTGGACACTCCATGGTGGTTTTACTACTGTAGTAGATTCTGTACAAATAAGCTCCTTGATGTGTTTCATAGCTCCAAATGGTCATTTGGTGACCTTTTGAAAAGGAACGAGACATGACAATAAAAGTCACAAGGTGTTTATTGAACTTTTGCACACATTGACTTACCAATGCCCCTGTCTTGTGTCAAAGCAGTAATAGCAGTTTTTGCATGTATGGTCATCCTGAGTTTTTTTGTAAAAGATTTTTTAAGTAGATCTGGTTTTACTCATGTGAATGGAGGGTTCTTTCAAAAATGAACCTACTCTATCATTTCGGTATTCACGGGAGGTTTTCTTTGGTCGTTGTCTAGAGTCTCAAGTCCCGATCATATCTTTCTTCCGATTCCAAATTGGGAGCACAAGGAGAAGCCAGAGACCGAAGAAGACGTCGGGCCAGTGGTGCAGCACATCTACGAGGTCCGTAGCTCCTGGGTTTAGTGGGCCGTAGTGAGCACCAGCAAAGAGAACAGCTGAGCCGCTTTTACAAAACACCCCTATGTAATTGTTAAGTAAACTCTACATAGCTTAAGTATGTAGCATGGATTTCTTTGGAATTTTCCCTATTTACAAATTCATTTTTATCAGACCAGTAGCTTTGTGTTTAACAGAAGCAACTGATAGAATTTGTTGTTTCATTTTTTTTTTTTTTGGTTTTTCTCCGGTACTGGGAACCGAACTCACGACCTTGCGCTTGCCAGGCAGGCGCTTTTGCCGCTGAGCTAAATCCCCAGCCCCTGAATTTGTTGTTTCAAATCAAGCAGTTCTACTTGAATAAAAGAAATAGGTAACTGGGAATTTTCCCATGGGCGTTTTGTAGTCATGTCTGAAAATCAAAAATGTCTGTAGTAGATAATCAACACTGTATTTCTACAGGAAAAATTTTTTTAAAATCATTCATCAATAACTTTAATATTTAACTTTTATTTTCTTCATCCTCATGTTTATTAAAGTCAAAAACTGAGCTTGATCTTTTTGCATAAGGCTTGTGTTATTCAAATCCTACTGTGTATATGATTTCTAAAGTTGATGAAGGAAAAGGGTCATAGAATAGATTTTTGTCCAAAGTATTTACAGTTTCTTTTCCTTATTAGCTGAGAAACAATGGTCCAAGTTCATTCAGCAAGGCAATGCTAAATCTTCAGTGGCCCTACAAGTATAACAATAACACTTTATTGTACATCCTTCATTATGACATTGATGGACCAATGAACTGCACTTCAGACATGGAGATCAACCCTTTGAGAATTAAGGTAATGTGCTAAATAGCAGCTCTTCATTATGATGGTGTTTTATTGCTGTCTTTCTAGACCTATAAATGAACTGAATTATTTTAATACACAGATTCCATAAAAAGATTGTAGATTATAACCAGTATGCTAAGAATTAGGTTATCTGTACAATGGGTCAGAATGAATTCTGTGAAGTCCTAGTGAACCCTGTGTGAAGTGTTTGGTAAACCTTAGGAGACAGTCTTAAGGGACTCAGTTTGACCTTGGCTCCTTTGAATTCTGAGTCAATGTACAATATGACATTAGGCTGTTGTGTGTTGGAATTTCTGTCTTTGGAATGAGAATGTACCATTTTACTTGTGACTGTTGTCCTACGTGATCTAAAAAGTGTCATTTGATGGAATTACATCTATTTTGGATATGGTCCTCTCCATCCTAGTACATATATTTGCATAAGAAACTGTTGTACAATGCGGTCTAAGGAAAGCTAAGACAAGGAAATAAACATACATTTGTAATGGATGCTCACTACAGATGTACTGTGGAATTTTAGGCTTCTTTTTGCTTGTGTTTTCATCATTTTCCCCTGTGACTCTGTGATCAGAAAATCATGGCTAGGGACAGCTAAGTTTTTATGGATAACTTCAGGGCTCTAATCTTTATTTTCTGTCCTTACCATTTACCATATATTAAGCAATGAATTTTCTACCATCCCAAATTGCGTACATCATATGTTCATCAGACATCCCTATGAATATATCAAGGTAGCATATTTTCCATCATTACTCACAATGTGCTTTGACACTACAATCCAGATCTCATCTTTGCAAGCAACTGAGAAGAATGACACAGGTGCCGGGCAAGGTGACACGAGCCATCTCATCACCAAGCGGGATCTCGCCCTTAGCGAGGGAGACGTTCACACTTTGGTAAGCGCCATTTCAAGTATAGAGTGGTAGGGACATTTAAAATATGTGACTATAGGACTGATGCCAAAGAACTTTTCAAAAATAACAGCAGCTGTGCTGAAAAGGAACTACATTTATTTTTACCTCCCTTTTTCCTATTCAAATTAATTTTCAAGTCTTCTCTTCTACACGCGGCTAATAAAAATAGTTTATGTTCTAACTTACTTTTTTTTTTACTGCAGTCCTCTATCTGACCTCTTTCTGAACTGAGAAGACCCCAGCAAAAATATATTAGAAGAATAATTAACATTGAACTAGTGTTAAATCATGCTGAGCAATGGCTTATGCCGTTTAACTTTTTGAGAAATTAATAGATCTGCAAGCTGTCACTGAGTAGGGAAGTTGGTGTCATGTCTCTAATCAGTAGCAATCACTACTACTGTTACCCTTCCAGATTGTGGCTCCTTAATCCTCATCCAAGTCAACCACTCATAATTTTGGATCACGTAGTCACCCTGCAGCACCACTCTCACCTCATTCTCCATTTTCTAGCTCTATCTTCTTAGTTTCCATTTTCAGACCTTGGAGCTCGGAGTACCCCACTGCTCGAGTCTCGGGTTTCTTCTCTGCTTCTCCTCCTTTCGCTCACTAGAGCTGTGCTGTGCAGGAGTGTGAAGCCAGGCCCGTCTCGAGTGTTCAGCAGCCACATGAGGATGGAGAACGTCTCACCATGTAGAGTGGACATCTCTGCATCGGTGGCTTCCATCGTCATAGAAAGTTCTCTTGGGCAGTGCTGCACCGCAGGACCTTCCTGAGCCTCATGGCTCTCAGTACCATCTGGGGCAGAAGACTTTGGGTTTCATTTGCAGCCTGACCCTCTGCATTGAACTCCAGCCTCTTAACTGCCTATGAGAACGCCTCCAAAATAGGAAACTGCAAACTTAATTCTAAAGTACCTCGAGCTTTCCCAGCTCTGTGCTTTCCACAGAGATCCGTATTTAGTACATAGTAGCTCCACTCTCTGAAACTTGCACCTTCACTTTCTCTGACATCCCACAGCCCACAATCCAGCAAATCCTGGATTTGGATCTACTTTCCAAAATGCCCAAGGTCTGTCCCCTCTTGGGTGCTCCGCCACTGTCATCTCTCTCCGGCCACCTCTTCTCTCGCTGGACTTGTCGAGCCCTTTCTATTGCTACCTCTCTCCCTGTGCAGTTGATTGACCATGCAGAAGCCGCAATGATTCCTTTAAATATAGGTCAGGTCACATCACTCCAGTGCCTGCCCATCTAACTGAAAATATAGCCAGAGTGTACAGTTATCTTGAAGTCCAACCCAACCCAGGCCTTTCCTGCCTGTCCGTCTCATCTGTCCTTCCTCACGCAGCTTCTCCCACTTCCACTTTGCCTCTCACCAGACAGCCAGGGGCATGTTTCTGTTCCAGGCCTTGAGAAGTGCCCCTCCTGTGCCAGGCACTCTTTCTGTCCCGCGCTCGCTGTGGCTGACTGTCCGTCTCCTTCTGGCGCCTGTAAGTGTCAGATCGTAGTAGAGGGCATTCCTGACCAGCCCACATGAAATGACAGTTGCCTCCCACTCCACGCCCAAACCCACTTTTCATACTGTATTCTCTATCCTATAGAATTATTTATTTCAAAAATTAAGATAAAAATTTACCATTCAACCATTTTCAAGTGTATAATGTAGTGGTTTTGAGTATATTTATAACACTGTGTAACCATTAACCACTGTAATTTGGAAATATTTCTGTGAGGCCAGAAAGAAATGCTGTGCCTGTTAAGGGGTTGCTTCCTGCTCTCTCCCACTGCCAGCCCCTGGTCACCACTAACCTGCTGCTAGGCCTACTGCTTTGCCTTCTTGACATGGATCTCACTGATACCAGACAGGGCTGTTGTGCCTCGCTTCTTAGCATATTTTCTGGATTCATCTATGTTTTAGCATGTGTTAGTACTTGATTCATTTTTACAACTGGATAGTAGTTGTTTATCCATTCAGATTTGGCAGAGATCAAGATTGTTTCCACTTTTTGCCTGTATCGTTAAGGCACAAAAGTTTAAATTTTTTTACTCAGACTTTTGTTGTCTTATAAAAAAAACATATCTTAAACCAAGATCATGAAGTTTTATACTTAGGTTTTCTAGTTTTCTGAGTTTTACACTTGTAGCTCTTACATGTACAGCTTCATTTTGAGTTGGTTTTTGTATGTGGTGTGAGGTAGGGACCTAGGTTCATTCTTTTACATTTGGCTCTTCTCTTTCCCCAGCATCATTTGCTGAAAAAAACCTGTTTTCTCTCCGCCCTTAAATTATTTTGGCACCTTGTTGAAAGCAAATTAACCATAGATACAATTTTATTTCAACTCTATTTTGTAAAATTATTATTAAAACATTAAATGTACAAATTCATGAAACGCACTGTGATACTTCCATACCTGCACGTGTCAATTGCGTCCATCCACCTTTCCTCCCCCCTACCCCTCACTGATCCTTAGTAATCTTTCTTCTACTTTCAGGTTGGCTTTTCCTTTTTACTCTCATTTCTGTTTCATTTTCCTATATGTGTACTTTTATGCCAATATCAAAATTGATTTCCCTACCGTAGCTCTGTAGTAAGTTTTGAAATTGGGAAGTGAAGGATCATGTACTAGTGTTTCTTTTTCAAGATTGTTTGGGCTACTTGGTTCCTTGCAGCTGCATATGAATTTGAGGATCAGCTCATCCATTTCTCCAGAACAGGTAGTTGGACTCTGGGGAGTAATTTTGTTGGGTCCGACTATCAATTTGGGAAATGTTGTCATCTTAACAAGGTGACATCTTTCCGTCAGTGAACACAGGCTTTCTGTTTATTCAGGTCTTCTTTAATTTCTTTCCAAAATACTCTATAGTTTTCAGTGTTCTAGTTTTACTCTTCCTTAGTGATATTACTTCTATGTACTTTGTTCTTTTTGATCCTGTTTTAAGTAGGTTTTTCTTAATGTCCTTTCTGAATTCTTAATTTCTAGTTTATATCTGTATATTGATGTTCCCCCTTTTTGTGCTTGTTTATTAGCTCTTTATTAGTATTAGTAGGGATTATTTAGTGTCTTCTGTATAGAAGAGCCTGTCTTCTGCAGAGAGATAGCTTTTCTATATCTTCTTATGATGCTCTTGTACTAGCTGCAACCTTCTGTGCAGTGTTGAGTATTAGTGGCACAGGTGGACACCTGCATCATGTCTGTAATCTTATGGTGAAAGCATCTAGTCTCACTCACCTCACCTTGCACAGATGCCCTTAATCACTGTTCCCCTTCTTACTTCTGTTCCTCTTCCTCGGTTGGTGGTATTGCTTCGTGGATGGCATTTTTTGTCACGTGTGTACATGTGACATGTTTAATGTGACCAGTACAGAGAACATTTGTTTCCTTTGACTACCAATCTTTAAGTCACCTCTAAAAACACTAAATGTGGCAGAGTCACCAGCACATCGTTGATTTCTACAGGTTTGATGTGGAATGGACATTAAACATTCATTCTCCCTACCCTTCTTTTCGTTTTTGGTTTTTTTTTTTTTGGTTTTGGTTTTTCTCCGGTACCGGGAACCGAACTCACGACCTTGCGCTTGCCAGGCAGGCGCTTTTGCCGCTGAGCTAAATCCCCAGCCCCTCCCTACTCTTCTTTTCCACAAGATACTGTGATCTGATTTTCATATCTTACCACAATTACTGTGCTCTGGGTTTGCCTGCAGAAAATGTTGAGGTCCAGCTATAAACAGGAATCTTTTGGTATAGAGTCATTCTTCTATAATAGATTGTTCTTCTATAATCACATTAAAACCAACCCCTTGATCACCAAAAATATTGATTTAATTAGCCTGTTTAAGCATTATAAGACCAAAGAACAGGAATTCTCTCTCTTTGGTCTTCAAAGAAAAAGCAAAATACAACACTTCACACTCAAATGTGGGGGCAGTTCTAGAGTGAACTTGCCTTGAAAGTGGACGCTTTGCTCTCACAGGGTTGTGGGGTTGCTCAGTGTCTGAGGATCATCTGCCAGGTTGGGCGGCTGGATAGAGGGAAGAGTGCGATCCTCTACGTGAAGTCCCTGCTGTGGACCGAGACCTTCATGAATGTAAGTAGGCAGACGCGGCACGCGGCAAACAGCCATGTAAGAAGTAAAGAAGACCTGACGCGGCCGGGAAATCATCTCACTGTCCTTTCCCTGCAGAAGGAAAACCAGAATCACTCCTATTCTCTGAAGTCATCTGCTTCATTCAGTGTCATAGAGTTTCCGTATAAGAACCTTCCGATTGAGGATATCTCTAACTCCACACTGGTATGTTGAGGATTTAGGGGAATGGGATAAATGCATCTCTTGAAATACCTTAATGATTGTGTTTTGTTTAAAAAATGTATATTGAACTGTTTCAATAATTCAAAGGAACAAAGCTGTTTGATAGGAATATAACCTTGTATAATCTTAGTTACTTTACTGGTCTCACCTACAACTATTAAAACTAGACCTGTTAGCATCTTAACTGTACTAAATTACCTTGGGGCTCTTTTAGGATATTTCCTGCTCATAAAGTGAGAAAGTTGGAAATTAACTGCAACAAGTGAAGACATTTTGAAAATTTTTAAGGGTTGAAAATGAAACAGGCCATCATAAACTAGATTGGATTATTTAAAAGTCTTTGCAGATGCAAGCAGTACTTATCCTGCGGTTGGGAATTTCATGTGTCTCACCATGCTGTGATATCAACATGTAATCACTAAGTAATCATCAGGAAAAAAATACAATGTGAATACCAGTAGAATCAATTGAATAGGCACTCAAGTATTTAAGCAGCAAATTATTTTAAAAACTAAATACCTTTTCACGCCAACAGGTTACCACTAATGTCACCTGGGGCCTTCAGCCCACATCCATGCCTGTGCCTCTGTGGGTGATCATTTTAGCAGTTCTAGCAGGACTGTTGCTGCTGGCTGTGCTGGTATTCGTAATGTACAGGGTAAGTGACGGACAGAGAAGGAGAGAGGAAAAGGGAGAGGGAGGAACAGATGAAAAGGGAAAGGAGGAGGCAAAGAATGAACAGAACTAAGGAAGGAAGAAAAGGGCCTATTGTGGTATACAATAAGATTATTTATTATTCGAAGGAAGAGAGATTATACAAAGTACCAGTTTTCTTGGTCATTGTCTTAGTTACTTTTCTCTCATTGATGAGGCAAAAATACCTAACACTAGAGGAGGAAAGGTTTATTTAGCTCACAGTTTGTGGAGGTTTCAGTCCATAATCGGCTGGCCCCAGGCAGGGTGCACAAGGCAGAGGGGTATCAGTTCATGGTGGCAGAAGACAGCAAAAGCAACAAGAGAGAGTGACAGGCCTCTTTCTGTCCCTTATTTTGTATCCAGTCTACCAGGATTAGGCGGTGCCAATCCAGTCAATGGGCTGCCCCAGTGATCACCCACCCTTAATCCCAGCATTTTTAATCCTAGCATTGCACCACCAATCAATCACACACTCAAGATTCAGCCACCCCCGCAAAAACCCTGTGACTGCCTGAGCCCTTGGGGGAGAGCTAGATACAAACTATAACAGTGATAATATAGTCATTTAAAAAAATATTATTATATCCTCTATGATGTAAAAATAAGGTTGGCTTTTTGGTTTCAACTTACAGATGGGCTTTTTTAAACGTGTCCGGCCACCTCAAGAAGAACAAGAAAGGGAACAACTTCAGCCTCAAGAAAACGGTGAAGGAAACTCAGAAACTTAATCGTGACTTTTAAATGATGCCACATCCCGACTCACTAGGATTAACGACTTGATTATACATTTAAAACTCCTTCGTGAGGAATAAAATTTCCAGACTGGACTGCTAATGGCACCTCATGGCCTCAGTTTAGCCCCAATATTGAGAGCAATATCTGTCAGCCTGCTTTTTATAAATAAGTTCAGACATACATTTAATATGCGTACACTGACTTCTATTTTTAGATATTTAAATGCTGACATTTTAAGCGATGGTTCGCGTTCAATGTACATAAGGCAGGTAGTGCCTGAGTTCCTACTTTATATAAAACAGTGCTTCCTGCAGGTATTCCTCGTGAGCTAGCGTGTTGACTTTGACTGCTGTTGTAGTTTGAAAGCAATCCGTACTTGCCCCTGAGCGCCCTTATTTTTTGTACAGGTACTTAGTGTTGGTACATATTACACTACAGTTGATTTTTCAAGCTACTTTGTAATTGCATGAATTTGAGTTTTAGTATCACTTACAGGTAGAAGTTCTTAAAAACCGTGCACTACCCTCAAAATTCTGTCCTGGAGCATGGAGGTGTATTTCAGGGGCCCAGCACTTATTCAGTGTGTGCAAGGCCCTGACCTCCACCTCCAGCAATGGGAGAAAATGATTTCTTTCCTGTAATAGCAACGGTACAATATTTGAACATGAAAATTGGGAACATGGTGTTAACTTTTATTTTTATTTAATCTGCAATCTATTTCTTTACATTTAACTTGTATAGTTTAAATTCTACATCATCGTCTAAATCACCTTATATTAAAGGTTAATTCTATACTCAAAAATGCCTTTTTTTGTGTAATAGTTTAGTTTCAGCTAAATATGATGCTTACAGCCTCATGGAGTTGGAAATTGTTTCCAAACCACATCTATTCCATTGTTTCTGTCTGGTTACTTACAGTTCAAAAAGAAGGAAGCATTTTAATTAAAAGTTTGTGCTTGTCTTTCTTTGATATAATCGGTTATTAGTCGCATGCTCTTAGACTAGAGCAGTGTTTTTAGTTGGTATTAATTTATTTTCCTCCCGTATCTATATTGTTTCTTGTAATTCTGAAACTCGTACCGAGAACAGGTTGAGATCATTTTTGTAACATACAGGAACCTAGATCCCCGCTCCCACCTCATGAAAACTTGGGGAGTCAGCCATTTAGGAAGCCCCCTAGTTGCCTTCTAGCCATGGCTGTTACCATTCATGTGGATACCACCTCAGTTTGACAAAGTAATGTACAAAATCAGTCTCAGCTATTAGAATGACTGCTAAAAGATATTCATAGGCAGTTGAAATTACTGAAAACCTTTTAAAGCATTTTTAGTTTTTTACCATAAATTACATCTCTAGAGTTTTTAATAAAAGCACCATAGGTGCAAGTCATAGTATTATATGCATGGAATGTGTGATTTATTTGCAGTTCTCAAGGTTTAGGAGGGACTATCAATTATACCTATTTTGTACAATTACGTCACATTGTGTACAAGAAATTGAGAGTGTGATAGCTTTTTAACTGCCATCCTCACTGGGCAATGATAAGTATTTCCCTTAAATAACTATTTTTCTATATTTTAAAAATAATTGAAATTTATCTTATGCTATAATTCCGTGCACAAGTGGTTGAGTTAGCCTGCAATTCATAAAATAGAAGCGCATTAGTTGCATAAATTAGAATAGAGAATGACCCTATATTTAGATTTAGTGAATTTTAAAATTAATGGGTGTCAGAGGGTAGAATTTATTAGTAGTCTGAGAGATCTTAATCATATCCAATAAGTATTTTTATCATCTATAGGTTTAAATTCTTTTGAGAAAAAAATATTTTTATCCTAGGGACAGGTGTCACCTACCATGAGACAGTCACTAAGTGGGTCTACAGCAAGTTTTGCCTTGTCTATTTTGTTTTATAATAGCTTTATTTCTGAAAATATCCATCAGATAGAAATTTACTCTTGGACAAAAGTGTCAGTATTTCATTTTGCACTGTGTGTTACTTTCATGGCCTCTGTATCAAGGAATAATTTTTTTTTTTTTTTTTTTGGTACTGGGAATCAAACTCAGGACCTTGCGCTTGTCAGGCAGGTGCTGTGCTACTGAGCTATATCCCCAGCCCAAAAGGAATAATCTATTGAAATTTAAATATGTTATAACTGGCAGTTAATACAGTGTTTTAAATTGCCTTTATAAACTGTAGTTTATAATACATACATAATAATGGTAGAGATTTTTCTTTCAAAAATGAAAATATTTCTCTCAGTAAAAATACGGAGTATAATTTGAAAGTTTGCTCTCTGAGAAAAATGCTGAGCTTCCTTTTACCTTAAACTAACATGTAAGTATACTTGACTAAATATCAAGAAATAGTTTTATGAAGTCTATTTTAATCACTAAACATTTTAAATAGTACTGTAGTTGTGATTTATTGAGATTAAAATTTGAAGTATGAAACTCTCATAATGAGTTTTTTAAATGAATGAGCTAGAACCTATTAAAGCATTTGAGGTAAGTGAGAAGTACTGACACTAACGTTGATTTCTTATGAAAGTATTTATTTCAGAATTGATATTTTATGAAACATTTGTGTGAGGGTCATTTTTCTTCTTTTTACTTTTCTCTTGTGATGAATTGCCATCTGAATTCTGATTAAAAGTCCTTAATGATTGTGAAAGGCAAAGCAGTTTATCAAAGTAACATTGCCACAGTTCCACCTGTGTTATGAAATTACTTACTCATAGTTAATTCTCATGAATGTAATCCTTTGTATTTATATAAGGAGAAATTTCAAGTGTTAGTAAAAAAGACTTTACCGGCTTTTTTATAAGAGTGAAAGGTTTTTGACAGTAAATCATGACTCTAAGGGAGTCATGTGGCGAAGGTCTAGTATGTGACGGATTGGCTGGTTTTTGTGAGCAGACAGAATGTGTAAGTTGATACACGTTCCTGTCTTCCAGAATGTACTGATGAGCCAGTTGGAGAAGGATAAGTTGTTCTTGGGGTACCTCTGTGTGGTTATTACCTGTTAGTGTCACCTTGGTTGTACTTATGAATAGCTTATGTATATATATATATAATTAATTTGATAAATAATTTAAAAAAAAAATCCAAAAATTGTGTTTGGTATCTAAAAAGGTAAATACAATCACTAAATACTCAGTACTTTAAAAAAAAATGTCTCTTTTAACTTATTGCTTGGCTAATTTGAATTATGAACCTATGAGTGAGCAGCGTGCAGTGTATACTTATATTTCTTTGTAATTTCTGTTACTTAATGATCTTGAGAGAGGTACTAAATCTTTGATTTCTGTTGTCTTTGTTCTCAAGTGCAATATAACAGTGTAACCAAACCTAGATAATATCAAAGTCCTCATTAATTTCGTAAGCCTAATCTAAAGTGAGATTTATTAGTATTTTTGGTAACAGGAAAGAGCGATTCTGCTGCAGAGATACAAATAAAATTATGTAGACCCCCCCAAGGGTCCATTCTACATTTTATTTCAGGCTGGACATGAACTACGAACCGTGCCTCAGCAGCTTTGAAACACTTTGAAATATCTAAAGCCAAGTTGGAAGCTGGGTGTCTCGAATGAATTTGCTACCTGGGTAGCATAGAAAATAATTATCTTTGCTCAGCTCTCTGTGGTCACCCACATTGGGTAAGACATGAAGTGAGTCTGCTCTCCAACCTGTCATTTGCTAACTTGGATGAAGTTAGTGAAAGCTGGTACAGGGCTCTGCTGGGTTTCTGATGTGTAACTTGTGACTGTACAATAAACTTGAGCAGATGGTGTCACCTCTGTGTATGGACTTCGTCCTTTCCGTCTGTCATGTTCGGCAGTAATTTTTAATCACAGGAGCCAGCAGTCATGCACAGGAAGTGTGGCCTCAAAGCGACATAGCTCTCTAAAAGTTCTTCAGAGCGCCCGTCACTTGAAGAAAGCAAAATAGCAAAGGGAACCTAGTGTTAAAATATCTGCTGAGAAAAGTAAATGTTTGTTTGCTTGAAATCTAAGAATCTTTTGATTTTTAAACAGTTATTTCTAAGTTTTGTCACATGAACTTTTATTATTTTCATCTTGTCAGAGTATTTTTAATATGCACATTTTGTTTCATGACTTTTTACACATCTGCAGTTCTAGAAGTTGAACATTCCTAATCCAAAACCCCTAAATCCAAAATGCTCTAAAATCTAAAGCTTTCTGAGCAGGATGTCAGGCTTCACTTAACCAAAAAAGTTCATGCAGATATTCCAAAAACTGAAAAACTGAAATCTGAACCACTTTTTTTCCCCAGGCCTTTCAGAGAAAGGAAAAACCAACTTGTATAAAAAGTTCTATATAAATGTTTGAGGAGAGAAATATGTTAAACCTTACTTAAACATATGATTATCAAAACATCACCTGGTACCCCTTAAAGATGCACCGTTTTGAACATTTATGTTCCAATAGTCACATATTTTTAGTGACATAAGGCGGCAGAAAATACTATATACTTCATCATTTATTAAAGCAAAAACATATAAAATATTTATTCAAAGAAAGAATTTCATCACTTTCTGCCAGTAGGTTGGTTAATTATAGTGTCATTTTGAATAAGATATAAGATTGTCTTTCTGTTAAGTTTGTTCTATCCCACCAAAGCTCTTATTTGTAAGGGTGACAGCATTTTGCAGAAAAGCTCTTTTAGTTCCAAGTACAATGATGTGATAGAGGAATAAATATTACATGTACTTATTTTTATTCATTACATTTGGAAATACCTTTCCATACAATGTGGATTTGATCTGGTTAAAAGGAGACTGCCCTCACCAGCGGAAACTTCCAGTGTAAGTTACCATGAAGGCCTGCGGATTAACATAAACCTGACGCGTTATTGTTATCCATTGGCCCTTTGAGCCACCCTAGCCAACTGTGCCACCCTAGCCAACACTCTAGTACATTGGCTCTTGCTGCTGCTTTGAAAAGATTACTTTCGCATCTCACCAACACTGAGGTACAAATGAACAGCTTCGGGCTGCCTCCCATGACCTCTTCTGCCGTCACAGAGAGAGCACCAGTTGGTTTTAACAGCTGCCACAGCTTTGGTAGTGGTTGTGCCATTCATTTCCCAGCACTTGGGAGGCTGAGTCAGGAGGATCACTGTGAGTTTTAGGCCAGTCTGGGCTACATAGTGAGTTCAATGCCAGCCTGGACTACATAGCAAGACTTTGTCTCAAAAAACTAAAATTAAATAAATAAAAATAAAAAAGAGGACAGGCAATGCTCTGTGTGCAGTTTTTTTTTTTTTTTTAAATTAAAAAAACAAACATTTTAGGTCACTGAAATGAAGTTCATAGACCCTGAAAAGGATTTCGTGGACAAGATGGTCCAGTAAATGGTACTTTCTGGGCACCTGGACTTACAATAATTCTTAAGTTCCTAAGGAACAACATGTTTTTGAAAATAAACTCACAAATCAGGTTATAACTTTGTCACTGGACATAGAGATTTGACTTCTGGAGCACATCAGAGTGATTAGAAATGATACGTGAAATTTAAAGAAGCTGTATGAGAATGTTAAAGCACGACTTTGTCAGATAAGCAGATGAGCGAATTGTTCACCCTACAATGCAACGCCTGTTTTTAACCATGAGATGCCATGCACAGGGAAGAGGACCAAGAAGTGTTCAGATGCTTGAGAAATTACACAGACATAACAACGCCACGTCACCAACTCCTAGTGAACTGAAGTGAGTTTAGGAAACATTATCCATGGCACTGGGATGCTGCCCCTCCAGTCCGCTCATCCTCTCCTACAAATTCCTCCTGGTCCTCAGTCCTAACAATTCATTTAGTTAGATGCAAAAGTTCCCTTCGACCAGCAAGCCACGACTTCCCTTCCTGACCACCATGCTCGCTCGGCATTTGGGGTCTGGGTAAAATGTAAACTGCACAGCACCTACATGTAGTAAGAGTGCAGGTGTTCTGTGTATGAAAAGTATAAATTGGGAAGAGACTTTTCTGTCCTGGCTGACTTAGCTAGTTGTTCTTTAGGATTGAATGATATAAAATACATGAAATAATTCTAAAAAGTGTTGAAATCATTTGGGTTCAAAATTCTGTTCCATCACAAGCCTTACCTCTCTCCGTCTAAGAAGTATTGATGTTTAAGATTGTTAGGACATGAAGATTATCAAAGGCATATATTTAGTGCTGTCTTGGTTACTTTTCTCTCTCTCGTTGCTGAGACAAAATACCCACTGCCCAAAATTAGCTCACAGTGTGTGGAGGTTTCAGTCCATACTCGGCTGGCTCCAAGGCAGAGTGGCACATGGCAGAGGGCAACAAATAGTTCATGGTGGCGGGGGACAGCAAAAGCAGAAAAGGAGGAGCTGCAGTGGGTAAGCCTCTTTCCC